TGTGTTTTATTATCTACCTTCGACCTTTAGTGAATCGAATAACATCAAATTTTCAACACTAATTCTTGGATGTATTTCTTGCTAGGAGTATAAGAATAAATAGAAATTTTGGTCAAAAGTTATATATGACTGACTAATTCATTCCAAATATATGGACTTCATTTTTTTTCATTATTTTTTTGGTTACAAACTACAATTAGTACTTAATGGAGCAATTAATTGAGACTATTTGCTAACTTAGAAAAAAGGTGTTTTATTATCTACTCCAACTTCAATGTGCTAGACTGGTTGTTATCGATTGTTTAACGCACCACCCACGCAAACTCTCCACTGTTAGCAGCAAATCTAACTTTACTTAACCCCGCAACAAGCTCTTTAGCTTTAGAGCTGGGCCTGTTGGGGAATATAGTGTGGAGGAAGTGTCCATTCTTGGACCCATCAAAGATATGACTTGTAAGAGCATGTGGACAATCACTGCGATGGGGACCAACAGTGTTCATGGGTGACATCTCCTGCCACCTTTTGGTTGGTTGAGGGGTTCGGAAGTGGCATCTGAATGTGACGCCAAGCAACAATGATGGAGATCATATGCAGTGTGTAATGATGTGCAGAGGCAGATGGGGAAGAGGAAGAAGAAGAATAGCAGTAGTACTCTGTGGCACAGACTTTTCATCCTGCCCATAGCCACTCCATGTGATGCTTCCTTTCTTTATGGAAACATTGCCCCTCACCTCCGCAATCCATAGACAGTGATAAATGGAAGACGATGCTTCATACAAGTATTTAATCAGCAACACAAGTCCACTTTGAATTGTCATACAGATGAATTCTTTTTTTTTTTTTTACTCAAGTAATCTAGTGAGTATCTAAAAACTATTTTTGTATTCTAATTTTCTTTCATCAAGATCCGTGACAAGTTCTTATTGTATCATCCAGAAGTGATTGAATCTCATAGAAAGTCCAAATGAAGAATGGATACTGTCCAAATAATTTATAATAAAAACAGTGGAAAAGAGAAAGAGATGTAGGAATCAAACTTATCATCTACTCTCCTACCATGATAAAGATCTTAACTGGGTGATTCGAAATTTGGAAAATTTAAACTATTAAGAAAGGGCCGATATGCTTATGGGTTTTACCACCAAGACAGAGAAAATTCAGCAGACAAAAAGTAAAACAAAAAAAAAAGAGAAATAGTAAGTTACTTGGCAAAATAGTTTTCGAGTACTGTTGTTGGGAATATGTGATGACAAGTTCTACTATTTATCATCATAGAAAGCAATAGTGACATTTCCTGGCACAAACAGATGAATGCTACAGAAGAAAGCAGCAGGTGCCATTTGAATGGATCAGAATTTTTTTATATAACACAAATAAAGGATTTTATGCATGAGAATGAAACCACTCCCAACTGTGGAAGCTCTTGAGCAAATGAAGCTTCATGATTCCCATTTTCTTGTTTCCTGCAAACAGTGAAACCCCTCTTCTCTGTAGTGGGTGAGAAGATGGTTCAGCCTTTAATATGATTCATAGGAAGTCTCCAACCCCAAAATTGCTGTATTTAATGCCTCTTAAATGCAACTTACACTAAATAGTAAGCTCAAGCAGCTTTCGACTTCTGCTCAACACCATGCAGATATAGGAGCATGTGCCCTGGAGCACATATGCCATTCAACAACAATTGAGGAGGAAGTGCATCGAAGGATGAACATTTACGATATCTCTGGCACTTGGAATCTGTTTGTTTCACAGTGGTTGGGGTGCCAAAGTCCACTTCTACAGTAGCAACAGGAGTGCGATCCCTTTCCTTTATTCTCTTCACAGTTTGGCCGTTGCCTCTCGCTTTTGCGCGGTACCATAACGACGTGGAGGATTATCCTCTTTACTGCCATCACCCTCTTGTATGATCATCACTGATGTCTTAAACAAACACTAAATCATACTTTTTATCTCAGGCCTGGATGAGGACATGGTAGTTCTATCCTTTGTGTTGATCGTGATATTAGACATATGGTAAGGACGTACAACTTACCATAAAAGATAGAAATAGTAAACTTAATCCAAATTTAAAAGGTGACTGTACAATTATGTACTCAAACAAACCGAAACTAGTGGAGCATGGAGCTTTTAATGTTGGTGCAACGACAACAATGGCCTACTTACACTGACTCTGATTGCAATCTACCAACAGTGGCATACGTACTTTCAAGTTTGCCGAACCACCTGAAAATTTGTGCAGCCTCAGTGGCAGCATCTAGAAAAGTCTCATGTTTTCAAGTTTTCTATCAACATTTTTGCTCTCATTTCTTTCTATCAATTTGGAGTCATCAACCCTGCATAAAAAAGAATAGCGTGTTTCCGTGTCCGACACGTATATACATCGACGCCTTTGTTTCATACAACATGTTCATCATGAAAGCCTCATCAATCGCAGCTTAGGCTCAATTTACGATCTCAAGCACAGACTCGGACTTGAATCATACAAGAAAATTGCGCAACACATTACAGCTAGCATAACTAACAAAATTATGTTTCAACCTCAGCTTTAGCAGGGAAAAAAAAAGAAAAGAAAAACCCATGTGCCACATCTCTGGCAGACCTAAAAGAATAATGGTGCTGAAGATGCCCCCGGAAGACCTAAACCCAAGGTAGCAGGCCAAAGCAAAGTCGAAACATCTTTCCGCCGCTTGACGGGCTCTATGCAGTTGGTTGATATGCCTTGCGCTGTGGTTTCTTCAAGATATGTAAGTAAAGTGCTCGCTAGATTTTGTTCTTGGTGCTAAGCTGCATAGTGATGAACTCGACCTTGCTTTTCTGCTTTCTCAATATGAGGTGCTACTTTTAACCTGTTGCAACTTTTGATGACTAGCTGTTATCAGTATTTCTACTCTTGATTTTGATTCTAAATTTGGAGGAGGTGATGCTTCCTTGGGCCGTCTCACTAATACTTTCATTGTTTTTTAGGGCATGAATTTCAACACCTGGCTCCACCTTCGAATCAACAAGAGAGCCCCTTGACTCACTAGGTCTGGATGAGATCTTCATATCGGAAGAACTCCTATCTCCACCCTTCTGCATTTTAGCCAATTCTTTCTCCTTTCGTTTCCTCTCTTTCTTCAGGCGCTTTTTCTCTATATACTCAGGATCATCTTTCTTGTCTACTTTATCATCTCGTCTTCGTTTTCTTTCCCTGTCCTTCTTATCTTTCTTTCCTTTTTCTTTGAGCTCCTCAGCATTTTCAGGAGGCATAGCTCCCTCTCCATCATGTCTCACCACAGAGAGGTCCTGAAGACAGGCAGTTTTACTGATGACCATCTCTTCAACATTTATGTTCTTGAGAGATAATTGATCCTTCGAAAGAGCATCTAGTCTCGAATCAGCAGTACATTGCAATTCTTTACCAAGCTTCTCTTCGCTTGCTAACTTTGCACTGCCAATGCTTGCAGTCATCCTAGACTCACGATCATGAGAAGAGCTCACCTCCTCATTGTTTTGGCTGCTAATGTTGAAAGGCTCAGTTGCTCCTCTGGCAGGTGCATCCACTGAAACAGAACTGCAAGGGCCCAATTCAGCATCATTTGGACCACCTCGAGAATATTCCATCTGGTGATCAGCATCATCTGCTTTACTAGATGACGAACGTTGCTTAACCCTAATCTTTATGACGTTCACCCTTCTCTCGCTGCAGTTAGAAACAGTATCACCCTCTCTAACAGTTTCTGCAGTCGGCAGAGCTTCGGACAGTTTAACTGTCTCTGCAAGAGGTTCCTGAGGCTTTGGTATCTTTAACTTTAAAGATGCAGGTCTCGTCACTTGTTCACATGTTTCAGCAGCTACCGAAGCATGTACTTGAGTTCTTGAAATGCCATAAAGTGTTGGAGACCTGATTATGAAAATGAAAGAATTTAGTGTAACTTAATAGACAAAAAAATAAAAGAACAGACTGTGAGCTACAGATCTGTCTTATGTAACTTGGTGAATTATGAGTTCTCTAGGTCTCACAAGCAGTAACGTTTACCTGAACCAGGTATTCGACTAGATATGAAATTGTTACCTTTTATAATCTACATTTATGTATTTTGCAAATTCAGTAACTTTGACAAAACAGTACAAAATGCCATCTCAACTAGCTGATCATGAATATCCTTTTTGCATGAAGCCATTAGATATCATGTGATAACAAGTCAAAAATTCATACAAAAAAATTTTGGCTGAATATAAAGGATGATTTTCTCCATGGAATAGTAAAAATAAGAGGTAATCATTTTGGCTAGCAGAAGAGTGAAGAAAGTGGGCAATCAATAAGATGCATAGCATAACTCATCCATTAGCCTCTTGGATATCAAATTGAAAGAACCATCAATGATATAACCTTAACATCAAGTAGACACGTAAACAGGTAAAATTACTACCTCCCAGCAAGAATTTGCAAAATGCAGAATAAGTGGTGGCGAAGGAAAACATTGTTGAATGCTTTTCTGCTTGTCAGCAGGTGAAGAAGAGAAACAAGAGTTGGGCATGCAATTTGCATTCCTGATTCAGATTCAAGATTTGCTTGACATATATGCATAACATGCACAGCCAACTTCACCTCTCCTGCGGTTATTAAATCAGTTAGAAGCCACACCAGAAATTAACATGAATAGGAAAGCAGAAATGAACAACCTCTTAAAGAACATTCTTCCTCCAAAAATTTCATGAACAAGGATAAAACTGCGTCTATGCCTTTACTATGAAACTCGAGATCCAAAAGTGCCCTGCTTGCCTCAATTCGAACCTTCCATGATGTATTTTCAACATTTCTATATGGTTCTATAAGTTCACGAACCTTATCCTGTATCGATGAGAATTTCATCATGATGAATGAAACTATATAAAAAAAAGACAACTTAAGTTTTATAGAGACAACTTACAAGAGGCACAGAGTTTGACAACTTTAATGCCATCTGTGCTAGGGTGCGGATGCAACTTATCGTCAATATCCCATTATAGCTAGGCATAAGGCTGATTAAAACAAATAAAATAAAACATGGGAACTATATGAGACTTTATAGAGATGTTCTAAAATTGGTGGAACATTGTTGTGTTTTATCACATTAACTTATATTGCATACCTGTCAAATTGCATTAATTGATCAATGCGTTTGAGAAGGGATGACAAAAAGAGAATGCCCTGATACAGAGACAAACCAATGGAATATTCATTGATATCATGAGATAAAGTACTAGTGTTCTACAAAGAAGTGCTAAACATTCCGTTTCCCATAGAAGATTTGACATTCAAAAGAGGTAAAGGCATAATGGCAATATATCATGACTTATTCTTCATCTTTGTCCTCCACAACAATGACCAGAAGTTCTAACAAATTAAGCAGCTCACTTTCTTGTAATCTGATTAGCTCCATCATTCAAAATTCAATGTGAGTTGCTACAGGACCAAAAGATACTGAAGATCACAAAACTGTCTAAAAGCAAGGATTCAGACCTTGGTCCAAAACCAGTCTTGGTAACCTATGCCAGCATACTGGAATGGTGCCAGTCTATTGTTAAGTATAATTGATAAAAAGAATAAAATAACCAAATGGTATCGCACTAGTCTAAAGTATATGTTTTGATACTGTAGTGCATACAAGCTCCGGGGTGATTGAAACCAAGTTGCACAGGGCCTCTGACTTGAGGCAACTCATGTGACATGGCCTTAGAAGGGCAAAGTTGAGTCAAGCAAGCACCAAACATAGGTCACAGGGAAACATTGGGTTTGCTGGTGCATCAGACAAGCCCAATAGTGCACCAGGATTAGTTTTGAGTTTGTGTCAAGCTAGACAATGCTGGGCTAGCCCAAATGAGAGCCTAGGATGCCCATCATGCCAACTGAAGCACTCCCCTAGGTGTGCCCAATCTAGGTAACCTCACCTAGAACTTTTTAACCTACTCAAGTCTCACCTCAGCTTGCCAGAGCACCTAGACGAGTGTCCAAGCACCTTTTGACAAAGTGTTGATCATTGAACTTAGATAAGACAAATATACCATTATATGTACCTTTTTATTCCATTTTTATAGGACTCAAACTAATGATCATGATTTATCAAAAGATTTTTACTTTATTGTTGTCCTATCTCACAAGAATTAATTTCTATAACGAATAGAGGGGATCCTAACTAATTTCCTTTTGTAATTATCATTATACACAATCATGCATTCTATTCAAGAAATGTGATTTTGTACAGACTGTCGCTTACCACCCAATATTTAACAATTGGAACATGAACCGGTACATGGAGAAACCCTTTCTGGGTAGTCCAGTCGGGGTTTATTTTTCTTTTTAAGGATTAAAGCTTGTTTCTCTCTCATCCGCTACTCTCTACCTGCAGCTTGTGCTACCCATATTGTCAGCCAACACAGGCATGGCCACTCCTCTCCTCTTCTCCTCCTTCCCAACCTCCACCCTTTCTTGTATTGTGATAGATGCCAATGCCGACTGGACCCATATCGGTCCAACCATGGACCAGCATTGGTCTGATACCTGAAACTATGATCCTCGGTTCAAACAAATGACAATCTTCAAAATATAATATCTCATTCCAGACCAATCACGGAAAAAACACATTTATGAGACATTTTCTGAATGTTCTTTTGTCAATATATATAATCAGACAAAATCAATTATATTTTTCTTGTTTTAGCCTCTAGCAGCCATGTAAAACGAGCAAAAACTGAAAGGTAACGTTTTACATGCAGTTATAAGGGAAAAAATTCATCGACAAACCTGTTGACCAAATTCAAGTTCGCCGATTGACTGCACCAGAGAAGCAAGCCAATACACATCAGAGTAGGGGTTTCCATTGTTATCATTGTACTGAAAGAGAAAAGGTTAACTCAAATCTTCAGAAAATGAATACAGCAGAATCAACAAGATCAATTCTTTAAATTAATACAGTTGAAAAAGCCTAATGTTTATTACTATCCCTAGAATACAACCAAAACAGAAATTGATGTTTACTTGAGACTCTTTGGACAAAAAAAAAGAGGCATAACAACAATGTAGGCCTCAGAAACAGCACAAGAACTTTAAAAGTACAAAAGAGCCTTCCCACCAATTCAACACCATAGTTTCCACATAGTAGCCTGTTGGCATTAGGAGACAATTTGTGTGTTACCAAGATTACAAGATCACAACTTACTGAAAGATTCCAAAAATGACTCTTAACAAACTAATTTTTATGCTTTGTTGGCTCAAGAAATGAGAAGTTAAACCACCAAATTCCATTAACTCTTTTCAGTGTCTATGATACTCTGTGGCTGTGCAGACTAAAAAGACAGTTTCTTGTAATCCATTTGTTTCTATAATGTATGCTGTTGTTATTTTGTTATTAGAAATACATGGTCATTTATAATCAAAGGAAAATCATGCCTTAAACCTCTAAAATTTGAAGCTAGCTAAATTAAAGAAAATAAATGAGATCTTGACCACATGATTTCCAAGCAAGCACCTGTCTGGGAGACACGATCAAATTAATTGTCTTAACAAAAGAGAAAATGCATTCGATTGTCAACAAAACCCCTAGTATCCCAAGAGTTGAACACCCTCTCCACCAAAGCAATTTGCCACAATCTCCTATCCGGTCAGAGATTTGGAATTCTGTGGTAGAAGGGATACCAGCAATAGAGATGTTTATTGGAAATAAAATCAATGGAAAAAACCAATGGACACACCCTAATGACCAAGACAAATCACAATTGCATTTTTCCAGGGTCTATAAAACAGGGCTAGACTCCATTGAAAACAACCGTCAAGAATTGATGGACAAGCCTGCTTCCATGATACATCATTGAAGAGCCTCGCTAACGGCAATTTGCAACAAATCTGAGATACCTTTCTTCTATGTGATTCAACTTTATTGCCAGCAACCAATTCTGTCATCGAGTTAACAGGTACTCGAAGGATTGCAAGCAAAAGTGAGGTACGCAACTATGAGAAATGGAGGATCTAATGGAATTGAACTAAAGCAACCTCTCTTCCACTGTATGCAAGACTCCTACATCTCAGAAATATCACTTCAGGAGAAGAAAATATGTCAAACAACTAAAACAGCATCTCTTCCTTTCCTCTCATATATCCAATGCCAGGATCCACTTCCACTTTGTTCATTGTTATCTGACGAACTTGGAGATAATCAAATGGTAATGATGACACCCAATTATGGAATTTATTCATCCTAATTCATCAGCTGTTAAGGTAAACCTTTCAAAAAGCGTCAGAAGGCAAATTTAAGCATTTAATAGTATTAATGAACTTTCTCGTTTGGAGAATCTAAAATTCTATCACTGACCTTGCAACATTCTGTTCTATTTGGATGAAAAAGAGAACAGAAATCTGGTCTAGTCTTTTGATTCTCCACTGGATTAAATATTCTATATTTATGTAAGGATACTTAAAAGAGTTATCTTGTGTTTTTATGTAAATCTAAAGCAAAAAAATTTATGTGATACACCTCCTCGATCGCTCCCTTCACAACCAATAGCCCCCCTCCCCTCCTGCTTCTTCCCCCTCTCCTTCTCTCCCACTGTTCCCACCCTTTTTCTACTCCTCCTCTGCCATCACCTCGTGCCAAGGCTCCTGACAGCCCCCTCCCCCTCCCTCCTCCCCCTTGACCGCCCCCTTCCTCTGCTTCTCTCTTTGCTTCTTCCCCCTGATTCTTCCCTAGAGAAGCCCTTCCTAAATGCCATGCTTCTTCCCCACCGTCTATGTTTCTTTTTCTTTTAATGTTTATCATTATTAATAATATTCGGTTTTTGTTAATATAGCCTATGAATTGTTTAAAGGATTGAATTTGTCATTGCTAGTATTTTGGTGCTTCAAATGAATGTAATTTGATGTTTTAGTATGATATTTAAAATATGAAACGATATGGAATTCATGTATTTTTTTCATTTTTATCTTAGTGATCATATTTTTTCTTAATTATATTTTTTATAATTTTAATGTTAGCAAGTGACTCATTTTGCCTTAGGCATTTTGGCACCTAGCGCAGATCAACAAACAAACATGAAGAATATATTCTTTTCTAGAGAGTCTTGTTTCAAATGTATAGGGAAGAAAGAACCCTTAAGTCATTATGGTTTTCAGTTTTATGTCATCAGAATTTGCAAGTGCAGGTATTGCTTGATCCACTGGCACATACCAGAACTAGTAATGTTCCGTTCTCCAGTGTGTGCATCTAACAAAGGGGGAAAAACAACACCAAGTACAATTTTAGGATGCCATCAGTACTTATGAATAAATCTATCTTTAAGATCTGTTTAACATAAACATTAGAAGACACTAGCAGTAACAGAACGAGCACATATTTCTTAACTTTCCAAGAGAACTTGAGCAAAATCCATGTCCACATGAATTTCTATAATTGGGTCAACAAATTCCAGATATGATACAATTATAAAGTCTCGCTTCGCTAATTTGATAGAGGATAAGATGAGAGAAAATCGTTTAAGATGATATAGACATGCTTAGGAGATTTCCGGATGTGATAGTCAGAAGAGGTGAAATGATTAATGTTAGTGGTGCAAGGAGGGATAGATAAAGACCTAAAAATATTTTAATAAAAACAGTAAATAAAGATTTAAGCACTATAAACTTAACTAAATATATGACTTTTTACATATATCAATGACAACAAAAGATCTATCTAGCCAACCTCAAATAGTCGGGACTTACGGCTTTGTTGTTGTTGTTGTTAAATAGAATTATAAAGTCAGCATGAAAAGCTCAGTATAGAACATGAAATGTCTAGACAAAATTATATACTATCATCCATATATTTGTCTAAAGCAATTACCAAGATTTTTTGGATATAAGTGAGCCAATTCTAGCACAAGACAACATTAACAATGAAAGAATTTAAGAAATTCATAATCCACTCATTTCTATAATAAAAGATGAAGTATGGTTGTGATAGAAATGAAATTTATTTTGTTTTTTATATGCTAACCAAAAGCCTCATTAGCGTGGTAAATCTTACTATTACATATGCATGTATAATGAAATGCATAATATTTAATGATCACTTAGCAGATTGGTAATGCAACAGATTATAACATAGGTTGAAGGATACAATTTTTCAAAAATGACCCAGAATTGGTGAATAAACAACTACTGCAATTTTTGAGAAAAAACTGACATACTCAAACACACCTTTAACAATTGCAAAACAAACTCAATTGCTTCTCTAGGGCTTTTTTTATCCGATGCTCTAACTAGAGCTACTGCATGTGGAATGGCCTGTCAGAAGAATGAAATCAGTTTTATTCAAGGAACAACATGTAAATTATCAAGAACAACCATATGAAAAACATCCTGTCCAAACAATGGATTTTCAATTTATCAAGAACATATCAGCTCCATTCTTTTAGAATATGAAGCACCAAATTAAATCCAGAAAAAGGCCTGTAGCCTCCACTGAAAGAAAATCATTTCTTGTAATTTTATCAGCTCAAGAAAAACATAGATGACCACATTACACAAATCATTGGATTGTTAAACTTTTCACTATAGCCTCAGTAAACACCTCCTAGTTATCTTCATAACAAAGTACACGAGTAAACTATAATTATTCATAAAGATCAGTTATCATAGGTAATAAGCAATCTGTCATAATTCACGAAGATTTATTAATCTTTATGGAACTAAGATGAATATCGAACGTTTCAAGATCTGCAAACCGAATTACCAATTTAACATAAGAATTAATAAACATATAGGGCATTGCTTTAACCACAGAAGAATGACACAGATTTCGTCAGATTAGATTTGCAGAAACTAAATAAATAAGCAAGCAACATAAGACTCATGATCAAAGACTTCACGAACTTGCTTAACTAATCACTGATTAGAGTATTATTTTATAATTTTTTACTACTTTAGATCTTATATGGAACTTTTTTCTAAGAATACTACAAGACCAAAGTATTGCTGAGCTGCATTTACTACTATAAACATCTGAATTGTTTGATGAAATAGAAACTGACATCAACTTCTTTTAATAACACAAGGACTGGCTAAAAGACCTTGCATTTAATGAGCAGTAGACAGCGAAATTTTCTAATAGGCCTGTGGCCGAAGGAAACTAAGTGCATTGACCAACCAAATTGAAGGATCCCATTAAAGAGATTGTTGATCATGTTGAGCTCCAGGATGCTGGCTGTGTAAAGATTGACAAAAAGAAGGAACCACAGATAAGATATTTCTACCACTTGATGCAGGTTGGCATCCATGTGCAGAATAGCACACCCCAAGGCCAAAAATGGCAATCATTGATTGTGCAGTTAGATGTTGCATGTATATCTTCATTATATTGTAAAAATAACATTGAACTGTATAACCCATTAAATACAAATTAATTTATTGCTACGAGTAACTACCTTACATGCTGTACAGATGATGCCTTGCATGCTATACAGACTGTCAGCCTTGGAAAAGTATCAGTAAGTTGTTATATGGCAGTGTCTTATATAATCTTACAAGATTGCCAAAGAAAAAGAAAAAGGAAGCCAAACATAAAAAGGAGGTAAATAGTAGTCTTGATTGAAGTTTGTAAAAGAAAAAAAAACATAGAAATCCATCTTGGGCTTGACTAGAAATTTAATGACGTTATTGAATATTTTATCTCGACAAGAATGTTTCATCAATATTGAAGGTTATATGATATGAAATCCTAGCAATTAAATAGTTTATCAAAAAAGATCATTTGCCAACACAAATATGAAAATTCATCTTTCCTGAAGAAGGTAACAGTAAATGATTGATTTGCCTCGAAGTAATTTTCTTAATTATTTATTTTCTTATTTACTTTTAGTTTTTCCTTTCCTTTTCTTGTATTTGTGGGTCTATAAAAGGGATAAAAAAAGTAAGGATCAACATTTCAAGTACCGATCAGCAATCAATGTATTGGATAGCACATACGCATGCAAGTACATGTGGTGACACAAAAATGATTCATGCTAAAACATTCAAAATAATATAGATTTGCACAAAAAAACACTACTATAATCAGTTTATAATAAATGCTATGGCTAAATCAAGAACTAACGGGATGTCATTTATAGTTATATCCTCATTTAGCAAAATAATATTTTGCTGATTGAGCACTTTATAGAAGTCCAGACACACATAATTTGATGTTTTGATGGTAATCATGTTGCATATATAATGATATTAAACTCGTAATTTTGATTGAAGTTATTATCTTATCATTAAATATATCTATAATTTTTGTATGGTAAACACTTTGTTTCGTCCATGCGAGCAATTAGGCAAGTGTCTAGCACATTGGGCAACAAGGGAGTTTCGCACCATATGGCACTCATTGCTTTTGAGAAACTAGCATCATACATCATATCTATGTCAAAGAAAAAATTAATTACATGCTGTAAAACTACTCTAAATCAATCCTCAGCTAATCCAACTTTCAACTGATTTGATAACTACAGTTACCCTTGAATTCATGCTCTCAGGCCCAGAGACCTATTCTTTCAGTTAGTAGACAGAATTCTGTCGTATTTCAAGGATCATAAAAATCATCCGAATGAAATTTAGGGGTCCAGTTAGGGTTTGCTTAAATGATTGTGCCATGTGTTCCTGATGTATATCAGAAGTATATCAGAATTTGACATTCATATAACAAAATTGGTATAACATACAGAATGGAAAATGAACATTATATCCACTTTAATACACTGTTTGTTGAGACACAATGGTCAGATGCTTTGATCATGTTCCATCTATATATTTACAGGTTCCATAGAATAATTGCAGTCATGTCTCATGCTATATTACAAATCAATTATTCACTATTAGGATATGCCCCTTTTGACAATGGCTTCTCTATTCCAAAAGAAAATTCCCCAAATTACTTTAAGTGCTTATGTGCTCTGCCACTAGGGCTCCAGGTTCCAAAAACTATAAACTCAAAAGTACTGATGAAAATTCATCCGGAATCACTGAACATAGAAAACCCTATCTAAAAGTGGTGAGGAGGCCTGGTCAGTCCTCTCTTTTGCAACTTGACCAGGAATAGATTTGACGTACCTTTTCCACCAATACAGTATATGATTGAGCTCAACATTCCACTGTGATACAGTATACGATTGAGTGTAACATAGACTCACATGAGCTGGACCAAAGATGACAATGCTGGATTGGGTTGCCATAAACTAGATAATGTCAGATGGTGCTCCCATAAGCTAATGTGAACAATTCCAAGGCATATAGGCATCCAACTGAAGTCATCTAGACCTTCATAAGGTCAACCGAGGTGGTTTTAGGCCCCATTTGACCCAGATTGGGCAGGCAGCAGATTGAATGGGAATAGTTCTAGGTCACTTTATTACACTTGCAAAAGAGGTGTCTTTATTTTTTTTCTGGAAATCAATAAGACTTGAACAAATGTGTTAATTAACCTCTATTAATTGGTTTGAGCTTGTAAGTGCAAGAGTTCACAAGAAACAACTATTCGGCTGATTGCTAAAATCTTCATTTTTCTCATTTTTGATATAAATATCGGCCATAAAATAAGTTAAAAATGAAGCAATAAGGTAAAACATCATCTTCTATGAGTCATCTAATATTCGCTTCTTCAAAAAATATGAAAGCTTCTGAATTATAATATTCTTCTCTAAGATTAATCACACCATTCAACTCATTATCAACTGCAATTTGAATTTCAAAAAGTTAATATTTTTTTAAGAATAATTCTTAAATACACCTGGGAAGCCTATTGATTGTCAAGAACACTTGTGCTTTAGCAAAGCTACTGATGAATAACACAACAGACAGCTTACGAAACAGGTAAGATGAAACAGAGATTAGACAATGTGTTGTGTTACATAATATTATCTGATGCTGCAAAAATAAAAACCAAACTTCTAATCCTTCAAAGTTGAAACAAATTTCAAGAAGAAGAAGCATGTATATGAGGTACTTCGCATCCAAGTCCACATTCTCTCATGATATGATGAGTTGATGCTTATAAAAGCAAGTCAAACAAAGACAAGTACAACATTGCATTAATGCTAATATATTCCTACCTCATTTCATTACCTCTAAAACAAAATACTCCGAAACTTCGTGAAAGCTATTTGCCCTATAGACAAAATAAAATATATTTCATCAATTCACTACCAAATATATATATATGCCATGCATGCAGCACAAGCATCACTAACTTTTAAAACGTGAAACAAGAGGGATTGGGAGGTTGACCTAGGTAATCCAGTATCCATGTCAAATCTTCGACTCTTATAAAATTTGATCAAATGGAAAAGTCCAGCCAAATCAGTGTCCTGAAAACCCCACTATTTTTAGTTCAAATACCCAAAATGTGCAAATAAAGATAGAAGACCAAAGGAGTCATTATCAGAGAGAACATAAACAGGATTATCATCACATTCCTTTATGTATACATGGAATAAAGTCATACAAGAATTAACTACAACAATAGATATCACCTACAAATCGTAAGAAAACATGCATAGGAAAAAGAAACAAATAACACTGAAGTACTGACAAAACAATTACCAATTCAGTTATTTCAACTACATTGAATGATCTTCCAAACTGATCAAGACTTCCCAGTTTATGGCCGCTTCTACATGATACCAATTGTTGTTTCATTGAATTTGCTTCATTAGTAGGCTCACGATTTGACTCTGATCATTACAGATTGGTACCAAGATCAAGATCTAGGCAAGCAGACCTAATTTTAACAGCCGGCACAGTAATGAGTAAATTATTAATGTCCTTCAATGCGCCTCCACATATATAAATATGTTTCGGTCACTTTTCTTTTTCTTCTTAGAACACTAAAGAATTTCCATGGATTTGTACATGAAGGCCATACTGGGACCAGCCTCAGCACCAATTTCACCTGCCCAATGTTCCAGCATAAGGTCCCATTTCATGTCTAGCGAGTGCTGGCCTCATGCAGAGCCATGACACAAACTTCGATTAAGACCATAATAAATGCAACAAAATACTCCAGATCAAATGTTTTTACTGAAAACTAATACATCCTGACATTCAGATGCAAATTCTACTTAATAATGAAACTAACATTTTGTTTCTACAACAGAGCTTGCATTAGTTTCAGCTCCCCTATGCTAAGAATAGCATGAAATAATGTAGATTCTAATGGCAGATTGTTTAAATTTTTTTAATGGGAAAGCTCACACCACCATCCTTGACTAAATCTTCTTTCAATTTGAAAGAAATGTCCAATTGTCATCAACTAGTATATGCAATAATGATTATCTCAAGTAATATCATATGACAAACTAGTGACTTTATGCCTACGTAACTGACAAGTAATGCAACAGAAATCACAACATTTGTAGCAAACTTATTAGTTACAAGAATTATCATCAAGACAATTTCATGCCACACCATGCCATCATCCATAAGCAGGACTCAATAATCTAAAAACGAAAATTGATAGTACTATTAAGGACACAACAGCCATTCCATGTTTTTGACATAGTTAAGAGCAAAGATACAAATATGTTAGAATTAAGGCAGAGTTAAGGCAGTTTAGAAAGCAATTTTTTGAAGAAAACAATGGTAAGCAAAAGGTTCTTTGTTAAGTTGATAATGAAAGAACAGATTATCATCCTATCCATACACGAAATAGTACCTCAGATGTTGTGTGTGCCAATGCATATGCTGCTTCTATTCTGACTCTCCAAAATGCCTGCATCAAATATTATTTGAAAATAAAGAACAATGTATACTCCATTTAACACTCAATCCTCTAACAAGGGCTATAACCTTTGAATCATTTAGGAAGCTGTTAAGAGCATTGACAACAGCAAAAGAAAGCTGTGGTAGCATTTCCAACATTGAAATTGCTTGTGACTGAGCAACAACATCCTTGTCCTTCTCTAATTGATTGATCTGACAAAAAGAACAATACATCATTTACAAAAATCCAATACAAGATTAAATAGGACCATATATTAAATAAATAAAAGTAAAAAAGATATGTGCACTAGTAGCTCAGTAAAAAAATACGAGAAGAAACAACATAGAATTATGTCATTAGTCACAAATAATAAAACAGATAAATGGAAGGAGATAAATGGTAACCTATGCCACAAGCAAAGATAGCCCATCATAAAGATTTGGAGAAAAAGGTCCTAGCTTACTCATAATTAAAAATTCCATTTTAACAACTGGAATCAACAAGGACAGAAACCATGCGATTACAATAAATTAAAAAAAAAAACAGATGACACTAGAACAAGATGCTTGGTTTGCTCCAAGGCAACATAAATAACAATCACAAATTATCATGTTATATGTAACTTCATAATTATTATTCAGCCTTCATTACAACTGAATATGTTAGGAGTCAGCATGTCTCAATATGCATTATGGAAACAAACTTAGCAGATATTATAGCACGATTCTATAATGTGGAGTAAACGATGAGTGGTACAAACCAAAACCTGCATGTATAAATGCACATTATGAATCATATATTAACAGTATTTGAACTAAGCATATATGTTTTCCTTGTCGTGCAAAACTTTCCACCTCATTCCTTTATACCATCCTGGGAACAGCATCAATGAATATGCTTCTGACATTATGATAATAAAAGACAGAATAATTGAAAATAATTTTAATAGTCACATTTTTTCCATAAAAGCACTCTACCAATCTTCAAGAAGAATAAAACCTGGACTAGTGTTGGAAGAGCTCACCAGTGAATTCATGATACATAAGACATAAATTACATGAAATACAATTTATTATACCATTAAACTAGAAGTTAAACATAAGTAGAAATTATAAATGAGTAGCTAGTAACATTAAGTTCAAGCAAGAAAAAGAGAAACCCTCAACCTTGTATGAAACTTTCCTTACCCACATCTGAACAGGCTGATAAAAATGAATTTCAGCAAGGTATTCCATCTCAGGATCCACTCTGATCCATAGCAAAGGTGAATCGACACTGCATGTAGAATAAGACCATTAATAAACTGCAACAGCAAGAACAATAAAGACTTAAACAAATCAAGTAACATGTGCACAGTAAACAACACACCCACTGCGCATATCTTGAGTTGACACCACATCTGCATTGTCATCAGAGCCATCAGCTTTAGAACCTTTCTTTGGCTTTTGAATTCGCTTTGCAGCTAGTTTCGAATGGCACTGTATCTCAAGCAACTGACAACTTTCTCCAGCCATTGGAAGAACTGGATGATCGTACACCCCATCAAGTTCATGAACTCGGACACTCATCATTCCAGGCCAACCAGGGTGACCTTCTCGATTTTCATCATCTTGATTGAAAGCAGAAGATGATTTTGCAGTGCAACCTCGTACAACAGCTAGTTCAATCATATTTCTTCGTTTATTATAAGACAGCCCCATCCTACAAGTAACATGTAATAAAAAGGTTACAGATTGATGGAGAAGGAAAACAAGAAAAGAAAAAAAATGCATTGAGTGAATTCCCTTCTACCGCATTATAGGGCATCCACAAGATTCCACCCAACGTGGGAAAAATTCTTTTAGGAATGGACGCTCCAAATTTCCAACTTTGTTAGCAAGATGCCTGAACTGCATATTAGACAGACAGACAAAGCTAAAAATTAAACATAACAAACAGTCTTAAAACCATTTTAAGACATTTAAAGTTCAAGTAATTAAACATCCGCCTTACAAGCAGTATCATGCCAGAACCCAAACATGAAGTTTCATATATGGTCTCAAATTAAGAAGAGTCTATACAACAATAAACAACATCAAGCCATAATGTACCAACTATTTGAGTCAGCTAGACAGATCTGTTACCCCAATGAGCTTTGTGCAAAGCAAAATCATTAACTAAATCAGGTGCATTTAAATATTTATTTAGGGTTTCTAGTATAGTCTTTTTAGGTTCTTCTCTACCTATCATCACACCATTAGTCCTAATTGCTTCATTCTCTCTACCCACGGTGTCTGTAGGTCTACATAAAACATGTCCAAGGAAGAGCCCATGCAACAAAAATATGTTGAATCATAAAGGATTGGTAACAACACAGGAACTTTTTTGGCTCAATAAAGAAGTATTTTACTTCCATTCAATGCCAAGTGACAGCTAGCTGATGAACCAGTATCATACATAACAAAAGATGAAAAAATAATATCGAAAATAAGAATGGGAGAAAAGATAAAGACGAGGAGAAGGTTGCAATTTTGTCACTAAACATTATTACCAGAATCTTAACATTATTACTAGATAGGTTGTAAGGGACTCTTGTGTTTCATTCGATTGGCAAGTCTCATAGTTGTATCAAGAAAAGTAGTACACTTCATGCTAGCACCTCATCCATTAGGTACCAAAAAGGGGGCAATTCTTTATTGTGTATTACACCCTTACAATTTCTTCATTGTACATTCAAATGACATATTTCTATGTTTTCCTTTTGTAAAATTTTCTTCTAATAATACTTGAAATAATACCATGTTTGCCTTCCATCTGTTTTAATTCTATGTCTATTATCTAACATCTATCCAAATTTATTTTTCTTATTCCTATCTTCTATATTTTCTTCACTTCCTTTATGATTATCTAAGTCTTCCAAAGTGGTAGCCTCATTAGGACAATTCTGCCACTAATCAACAAATTGGCAAACTTCATCACATTGTTTCAAAGAAATGTGAAATAGTTTTAGCACCATGTTGCATAAGAAAGTATGGTCATGACTGAGGTTCGTAATTTCATACCGCACCGAAGTATCAAGTTCAGCTCGGTACGGTATGGTACGAGTATACCAAGTGGTATGCTTTGGTGTATCAATCGATATACATATATGTATATGTATATACATATATGTATATGTATATGTATATACATATATGTATATGTATATGTATATACATATATATATATATATATATATATATATATATATATATAAATATATGTATGTATATATATATATATATATATAAGTTAAAAAATAAAAAAGGGGCGACGTCACGTCGTTTCTTCTCCCCACATGGGGAGAAGAAAACCTCGAAGCCTCGACGACGTAATCGAGACTTCTTCACGAGAAGTTTCTTCTCCCCGCGAAGCCTCGGCAAAGTCACCGAGGTTTCTTCTCCCCACGCCGAGGCTTCTTCTCCCCGCGCAGATTAGAAGTCACCGATGACACCGAGGTCTCCCCACGAAGCCTTGGCGACGTCGTCGAGGTTTCTTCTCCTCATGCCGAGGCTTCTTCTCCCCGTGCGGATTAGGAGAAGTTGCCGATGGCGCCAAGGCCTTGTCGCCTCATACGAGGAGGAGACGACATCTCATCTGCGACGTCCGACGAGGGAGGGCAGCAACGGATCGGGATCGTCGAGGGAGAGCGACGTCGAATCTCCAAGTTCTCCCTTTTCTTCTCCCTCTTCTTCCTTCTCCCTCGGCTAATATCACCCGGTAACAGGCGACGACGATCAAAATCGACTGTCACCGACCGATTTCATGTGGTAACAAGGCGGAAACAACCCCAATCAACGGTACCGCCTAGTAGCAGACGATCTGCGTACTGGTCTGCTGGTGGACCTGTACGGGCGGTATCATTCGAAATTAAAAACCCTAGTCATGTCTACCACACAAGCTCCTACTCAATCATATTAATAACAAATGGAATAAATTTCTTCACATATGTAAAAAATTTTTACTCAATCTTTCCAATAACCCAACACATGCCCTTTAACATCCTTATCTCGACAATACTCAACTTTCTACATTGCTCTCCTCTTCCTACCAAATAATAGATCCAAGGCATCTAAAACCTTTGATTATAGGCATTTCTTGTCCACCTATATGTATTATACTCTAAAATCTTCTCCTAGCTACATTGCTAAATTTAATTTGTTTATAACCCCAACAAAACTCTTATAGACCAGGACAGTATTATCAACAAATAATATAGACCATGAAAATTATTGTGAGTATCATGAGTATTTTCATCCATAGCGTAAGTGAAAAGACAAGGACTCAGTAGATTCTTAATATATATATATATATATAGATGACTTAGCAAACATCCAGCACTCCTACTGCAAATGACAACTTGAGGATCTAAATATTTTATAACTAGTAGGTACTCCTTTATTTTCCAAAGTGTACAATAAAAAATCTCTAGTGACTATTGATAGCTTTTTTCCAAATCAATAAAAAAAATGTGCTATAACTAGTCAATTAAACACATTAAATTTCTCACAATTACTTGGCAATCGCTGAGTTTTATTTATCAGGTTGTAGAAATATATTAAACAACAATCTAATTGCATTAGGTTAACAGTACAGCACCTTAAATTTTCTTCTGTAAGTACATTTACTGACCTCTTTAGTGCTCAGTGTTCTCATGGAGCGAGTTGAGCCAATAGCCCTACAAACAATAACCTGTAGAATCTGAAAAGTTCAACAGACATATTAAAAGAAGCATAGGTAACCCAATTAATAATGTTCAGATAACATACTTGATCCCGTAAGGCTATGGTATGAGAGATACCATGCCATAACCACAAAAAATGTTACAACCATAGTAGACAACAGTACATATAGACACAAACCTAGTGCACCTTAAGTTGTAATAGCATACTAGAACCATACTACACCCACCCAAGTGTTTGTATGCTCAATATAACTGTTGATTCAACCACATGTTTGCAATTTTGGCCAACAACAGGATTCAAGCAGTGTTTGCAATTTTGGTAGGCACAGTATGATATCACGAGTATTTGCCAGTCCAATGGGCCGCCAAGATGCAGACCAACCCAATTTAGACCGGTTCACACCCGTTGCACCAATCAAAATTGGAGGTGTACTAGGTTTTAACAGTGAGAATTTGTCCATTAGCAACAGGTACCAATCAGTAACGGTCGGATCTGCATCACATCACCCAATCCAACCAATGGGGCCTGGTTAGGGGGCTGGTTGGGGGTCTATATAGACACTGTTCTCACTCATTTCTCCTCTCTCACATTCTTTCTCAAAAGTATTGTCCCTCTAATTCTCTTGATTTCTTGGGTAAAAGGCTTAAATCTTCTATAATTGCATTGGAAAATGATTAGGGAAGGTTGATTGGAAATTGAAAAGCGGTTCAATCTCAAGATGGATAAAATTGTCTTCAAATCAAGTTAATCCGAAACTTAATATCTATGTTAATTTCATGTAAATAGAGCTAATTAGGGTCTTCATGTTCCAAGTATAGCCATTTTAGGGTTAATTAGGGGCAACTAATGACACAGCATGCTCACGTAATTAGAGCTTATTAGGGTGTTCATTGAATTAGACCCTTTTAGGGCTAACTAGGGGCAATTTATGACCAATTACAGCATGAAATGAAAGTTTATTTCAATGATTTAAATCGGCGCTTGGGAGCTTGCCTAGGCACTCAAGTAACGCGAGGCGAGGCCTAAGCGCCTCAACAATGAAGTAGGCGGCGCACTTCAATGAGGCGTCGCTTGAGCGCTCACCCGAAACCATGCACTGGGCACCTCGAGCGAGTGTCTGGTTCAAATAGTTGAACCGAACCAGATTTTCAAGTCTGGTTCGACCCCAAGCGATGCCCTTTCTTACCTACAAAAGCCACCTCTGCACGCAAGCACGATCCCAAGCGATCAACCCTAGCGAGCATTCCTGCCTCTGCCGCCGACATGCTCTGCAGCTTCCTCCGCCGTTGCTGCTATCGTCCACAGCTTCCTCCATCACTGCTACTTTCTCCTTCCCCACTATCAACCATCAGTGACACTTTTTTCTTATTTTTTTTCCTCTACTACTATTAACAGTTTTTTTCTCCCCTCTTAACTATTGTTAATAGTAAATAATATACTGTTAATAGTAGATTGTTAAATCTCTAATCTTTATTGTTTTGAAATTATATATTAGGTTTTAGAATTAATGACAAGTGTACAAAGCAGTTTAATTCTAATATAGGTCTTCAAAAATATGTTTAGCATATTTCTATTTAGTTGTATATTATTTTAATTATAATATTCGAGAGTGCCTCACTTTGCTCGGGCAGGCGCCTAGGCGAGCGCCTAGCGCTTTTTAAGTCATTGGTTTATATCTAGGATCTATGTCTCATTTTTTCAAAAAAAAAAAAAAAGAGCCGAATTTCACTGTATACAACCATAAAAGAAAAAAAAACAGTACATTGATATGGACCAATACTGTCCTGGTCCGCCCAATGACCAGTATGCTAGTACCAGCGACATTGCATACCTTGGATTTAAGAATTATAATATAACATATCATCTTTCTTTTAGTATTTAATGGTTTTGAATTGTATCATCCATGATATGTCATCTTTTCTGATTATGGATTACTTTTTATAACAATATAATTATACACAACATGCATCATGACCATCATCCAGGTATGTAATGATGTGATGATAATACCTCATATAAAAACATTAAAACGTTTGAGTCAAGCTAACACATATTTGTAACTAATACACAGGAAAACAAACTGTGAAAAAACTGGGGGAAATAAGAGAGAGAGAGAGAGAGAGAGAGAGAGAGAAGAAGGGAACCATTTGAAAATAACTTATTTGCTCAAAACGATCATGACAGCCACATTCCCCCAACCAAATAAAATGGACATTAAAAGAAAAAACAATAAATTATAAGACAATGAATGAAAAACCGTCCAGACAGATATGTACGACCCGGAATTTTACTGGTCCACAGTGATTCTTTTGCTTCTCCAACAACCATGTAGGTAAAAAATTATATAGTACTACAAAAACAAATAAAGAAAAAAAATACGAAAATAGTTTCAAACAATATGACATCTTCTCTCTAGACTAGCATTTAAATTTTCAAAAAAATAATTATTATTTTCATCATATCCTTTTATCTCTATATCCCTTTCTTTGTCTTCCTTACATGAGAGTGAACAGAGGATGTTGCAACCATGGCAATAGACAGGTTCCAACAAAAGGCAAAAAATAGTTTCTTCTCCCCCGTTTGACAACCATAGTCTCAGATTTGCCTTTCCTCTATTTTAGCCTACCTCTTCTTTCCCATCTGCTCTTCCCCTCTTTTCTCCCTTCTTTTGAGGCTATGAAATTGCTTGAAGTGGCCAAGTTGGCCAGCCCAGAGAGTTTGATTAATTATAGTGTTTTCCCATTGATTTTCAACCATACCCCAAGAATTTGGTTGAAATCAGTTCAGCCTTTGATAACACCAACACGGATTGAGCATACCGTATCGGAATAAATCCATACCAAAGAATATCTCTGTGCAGAATCATTAGCCAAGACAAAACTATCTACAGCTTAACAACAATCATAAAAAGCAAGAAAAAAATATATAGAGGAGAGAGATGCACATGAACAAACCTTACAGAAAGAGTCTGGGCCTATCTGCTTCTCCAACATTTGAAGAACTGATATCTGTTAAGAAATAGCAAATAAAACATTCCTCAATTTTCTAAAATAAGACAACACAAGGAAAGTTGGAAAGTTGACTTACAGCTTTCCAGGATCGGATCTTCCCATATAAACCAATCCATTGAGTTCCATATAAATCACTTGAAGCAGCGGAGGAGCTCAAAGCAGTAGCACCGCTGACATCAGCTTTACAGACAGCAAAATTGGCCTAAAAAGATGCAAACATGCTTGGTACTTAAGTTAATTCTCTGAGGTCAGTGTTTTCCAGCAGCATTAGACTGTCTTGGTGATAACAAAGGAAAAACTACATATTAGACAATACATAGAGATGTTCAAATGGACATTTCAACACATGAAAATAACAGAATCACTTGCCTTAAAGGATAATTGAATCATTCAAAATATGCTTTGCAAAACAACAATGAAACAACTATTAGATATGCAAACATTTGCAGATTGAGAAATAATATCATAATATTAAATTTCAGAGAAAGTCATGAGTTATTCAATGGACAATCGCAGCTGAGAAGTGGCATCTTTCATAATTCTATGAGAATTATATACACATAAAATCAGTATCAAATGATTAAATAAATATATAATTCTCAGGATGCTCATACTGAAAAAACTATTTACTCATAATAGGTAAAGAGAGAGAGGCTGTTCACAGTACATTTAATATTTGATCCTTTTATTATTTCAATTCTAGGCCTATATCTGTTGCAATCCAGCAACTGCATAAAATTTAAATAACTCACAAAGACAAAGAGAAACTGCTCTTCCTGAGACAACGGACCTTCGGATACAAATATAGAACACGTAGTAACTACCAGTAAGAAAACATTTCTTTTGGACACATGCTATGAATTTTTAATGAACATTTACTAAGCAAGTACAGGAGCCACAAACTCATCGAATTTGTGAAACAGCAATCACAAAAATTGGCCAACATGAAGTACAAGAGAAAATACTCGTCATGAAAAAAAATAGCAATGACAAGTGCCGACCTCAAGAAACAGCACTCAGCAATCAAACAACATACGAAGCACTATTTTTATATTAAAATTTGGGAAGTTCAAGCTAAGCATAATGTAACCAAGTTAGGCATGTTCAGATGTTACACAAAGTACTCTAAAGCTCCATCTGATACTGAAAGTTTGTGACTTCAAGGGAAGGGATACTAAAAAGCTAGACATGTTGCTCTTTCAAAACAACAAAAGCCAGAAGACAACCTAAAGTCCACAAAGTAAGGAACGTGAAACTTCACTCCTGTGAAGAAAAAAGTAGACACTTAATTAGTTAATTTCTTAATGACTCTTCCAAACCAAACTATATGATCTTGAAATATAACTCTGAAGACTCCCTAATATAGCAATTAAAATAGAGATCAAAATCAATCCAAAAATCACAGATTAAAAAGTCATACTCTGACTGCAACTGCATGCAATCTCTACCAAGATCTAACCTAATCTAACCCCTTTTTTAAACCACAGCTGTGTCCATGCTCAAGTTGGATTTTAAAGATATATTGAGAAAACAAATAGATGCTTGTTCAAAGATATTAATACAAAAGTTGACCTTTAACAATGTTATAATACAAACCTTCTAAAAGTTTGAAGGTGTATTTATGCATAAAATCATGGTTTGCAGTACCAAACTGTACCGCTCGGTACGGACGGTACATACCGATCTTGCCGGTACATGGATCGCCTGTTACCGGTCCGAGTGCACTGTAGCACTGTAGCAATGCTACAGAACTCGGTATACCATACCATACCGGTACCGAGCCCAAATCGAAACACCGGTACGGTACGGTATTGTGAACCTTGCATAAAATAACCAAAAACTTAATCTTCTAGATCATTCTTCAATTAAATATTCTCATCTGTAGCTTATATTCTCATAATCTCAAGAGTATACCAAATATTTCGCAAGTATGTGCTTGGTTAAATTAACAATACAGGTTAATATTTAGACATATCTAGACATTTTGTACTTGGCTAGTTGGCTACAATGCCAAAGCAAACTAAATGATCCAAATGTATTCTCCATAATTCATAGATTCTTAATAGTTCCAAACTACGACCATGCAGCCAGAGACAACTACTACTAATTGTACATTAATGGAACTGCCAAAAATTCATTGGACCTCACAAACCATATTTCAAATTCATGTATATAAAATTTTCATTGGACCAGTGGCTTGGATTAGTTTTTAGTTATGCAGAGTGCCATTCATCACCAAAGAATTGAAGTTTCCTACTATAATTCCTACCTGATTTCATTAATGTAAGGAATTTATGCATAAAACTAATGCATTCCGAAATACTTGCAAAAGTAGTATTAATGATATGACAGGGTTATACCTTGTATCGCCGATACCGTGCCTCATTATTACCTAAGGAATGCTTTATATAAGTATCTGTCAGAAAGCCAGCGAGCCCATCTAATAACCATTCTGCAAACAATACAAAGTCAACATTATCTGAGGCTTTTCAACCATCTCCAATAAAAACTGCAACATTTCCAAGACTCACCATCTGTTGGCTCATGTGCGGTGATGAATACTCCAAACCATTGCCTTGCCAGGGCATAAGCAAGCTTAATTCTAGTATCAATTGTCTGGTTGATTTAAAAAAAGGGTTACATGAAAGAATATTGCAAAAAGTAGACATAAGCATACAAGCAACCCAAAATCAGATCAATTACGATAGAACAATCATAATGTGATAAACTAATCAATGAGTATCAGAACAAATGAAGCAATAGTACTTGGGTGCTTTGGAAAATGAATTCGAAAGTATGCCAAAGTATAGCAAACATACATGCATTATAAACAGACTAATGATATTGAACAATTTGCAAGGGAAAAAAATCTTCTACAGGTGACTTATTATGCTACTTCAAATGATGAATATTTGTAATGTTTGAAGAGCTTCATGAACAAAAGTATTTATTAACAGCACGCTGGACTCCACGAATAGCCAATCTCTACAAGAAGCTGAATGGCACTGTTTATTGTTTTTTACCGGTTATTAGTCCAGGTGCCATGATAAGAGTGTTAGAAATCACCATTATTTATTATGACAAAAGAAAACAAGATGCACATAAAATAATCCAATATTACATAAATCTACATTCTGAGCTTCTAACTATAAAGTCCAAGCAATTTAACATGCACAAATATTTGGTAGCATAACATTAGCACTAGTACTGGACAAGTCCTTTCCCCTTCTTTTTTACCACAGTTTCATTTTTTATATATTTTTGTGGCCTAATATTAATCATATCATGAAGAAAAAATTAGTAAAACTCTCAATAGACATTAAAATTATTATACATACAAAACAAGGCATATTTGTAAATACCATACATACAAGTTCAATTAAACATGATAATAAGATTTAAGAACTTTGATAATCATTAGATATCAACATGCACACATGTCACATGTCTTATGACCTTATTGATACCAAAATGAATGTTGTGCTGATTGAGGAACTGCCTCTAGCTATAGGCTGACATTACGTGTGTTCAAGTCATGGAATGATATTTGCTCCAATGCAAGCATTTTAATTTTGAATGATACTGCTCGGTGCGGTCGGTACATATCGGTCTGCCAACAGACCAGTACGCAGACCGCCCGCTAGTGGATAGTATCGTCGATTGGGGTTGTTTTCGCGCCATTACCGCTCGAAATTGGTCGGTAACGGTCGATTTCGACCGTTCACCGCTCACTACCGGGCGGTATTAGCTGAGGGAGAAGGAAGAAGAGGGAGAAGAAGAGGGCGAACTTGAAGATCCGACGCCGCTCTCCCTCGACGATCCCGATCCATTGTCGGATGCGCGGATGAGATGTCACCTCCTCCTCGTCTGAGGCGACGAGGCCTCGGCGTCGTCAACGACTTCTCATCCACACAAGGAGAAGAAGCCTCAGCGACGTCGTCGAGGCTTCGCGGGGAGAAAAAAACGAGGCGATGTCGCCTCGACAACGTCGCCCTTTTTTTTAACTTTTTTATTTTATATATACACACCAACCAGTACCAAGGATTTTAATTTCGAATGATACCACCCGTATCGGTCCGCCAGCAGACCAGTACGCGGACCGCCCGCTACCGGGCAGTACCGTCGATTGAGGCTATTTTCGCCCCATTACCACACGAAATCGATTGGTGACGGTCGATTTCGACCGTCGTCGCCCGATACCGAGCGGTATTAGCCAAGGGAGAAGGAAGAAGAGGGAGAAGAATAGGGAGAACCTGGAGATCCGACGTCGCTCTCCCTTGACGATCCCGATCCGTCACCGTCCTCCCTCGCCGGACGCCGCAGATGAGATGTTGTCTCCTCCTCGTCTGAGGCAATGAAGCCTCGGCGTCGTTGGTGACTTCTTGCGACGAAACGAGGCGACGTTTCTTTTCCCCATGCGGGCAGAAAAAACAACATGACGTCGTCGAGACCTTTTTTATTTTTTAACTTTTTTATTATATATATCAAGCGGTATGCCAAAACGTACCATTCGGTACACTCATACCAAACCGTACCAAGTTGAACTCGAAATTGCGAACCTTGATTGATACGCCTGAGTGTACCACTCGATATGCTCATACCGTACCATACCAAGTTGAGCTCGAAACGTCGGTACGGTACAAAATTACGAACGCAACTCCCATGTCATATGGTGTTTGACAGACAATGTGCAACATTTTGATCAGATGAGCAATATTAACAACAGCAATAAAACTAATCCATTAAGGGGTGTGTAAACATATGTCTAGACCTAATGAGATGCTCCACCAACTGGAAATGAAGCTCCAAAGGTGGTACGATGACCATGTTCATTGTTGAGCTCTAACACTAGGAAATAAGATCCATCTATTTCAACAAATTGAGATTTAAGACCAATTATCAACTTTATATTATGACCCAACAAACACAAGCTGATAGAAAGGCAGTTGTGCACCTAGATTTACCTAGTTTTAAGTTAGGATCCAAAAGGGTCCATCTCATATCTGTGTAGATTTATGCTAGGTACATATAAATCCAACCTCATCTAATCATGAGTTGCTCATCACTAAATTGTTGTGTAAAGGGCAACAAAATAGGCGGAAAGCAAGAGAGGTAACACGTACAAATGAATATATGTGATGGAATCAAGAAATACTTAACACAGACAAAAATTCTTCTCATATGGAACATTTGAAGTTTTATGGAAAGAAGAGTGGAAGAGAGGGTGAGAGGGAAAAGACAATTTGTAAAATGGTTTTCGACCAGTTTAGTATAGGCAAGGCAAAAAAACTGGGTAAGCTAGTGTTGTCAAAAGTGCCTAGATACCAAAACACACTGATGCGCTAGACGCTCACCTAACCGCTCGATGGCAACAGTGAAGGGAGAAGAGGGGTGGGGAGGATGACGACACAATGAAGGGAGAATTGGACTACTGGAGTCCCTACATAGAGACAATGGAGGAGAGAGAAGGGTGGGGCTCAAGTAACGTGGATGTGCTACTGGTGAAGGGCGAAGTAGGGTGGGTGGTGGCAATTGGGGAAGGAAGAAGGTAGGCGTCGGTGGCTACCTAGAGGGACGACAACTAGGGAACGAAGAAGGGAGGTGGCAAGGGTTGTTTAAGGTAGAGAGAGAAGGGAGAAGTGGAGAAGATTTGATCACCCATGTGGGTTCTAGGAAGCAACAAAAACGGACAAGGAGAATATCCGATCAATAGCTAGACAAGTTGAACCTAGCCTAGTTTAATTGAGGTGCATGCTTGAGCTAGACAAGCAACACCTCGCGAGGTTCAAGAGAAAGGTAATAGGATCAATATTAGAATTCAAGATCAATTATATTTAGTGGTGTGAGGACTTTGCTAGAAATAGCATAGTTAAGTGTTTTTTATTTAACTAAAAAACATTGTCTTAACACACCATTACGTGAGAAAAGATCCACATAACCAATGCCAAATAATTGGGAATTACAACTTGTTATACCATAAACAATCGATCAAATCAATCGATCAGATTCATCAATCAAATTGTTTAATAAGTAGGTTCAACTCAGACAAGATGTTAATACTTGTAAAGTTCTATTCAACCTAGAACAATAATTTAAATAGGCGCTCGAGCGAGACAAGGCCCAAGTACCACGTGTGTGGACCAAGCGGCGCGCTTCAATGAGGCGTCGAGCGCTCCGGGCGAGCACTCAGTTCAAATAAGTGAATCGAACCAGACATTTTAAGTCTGGTTCGATTCAATAACACAGTTTCTTACTCTCAAAAGCCACCCTTCACGCCCGTGCAACCCTGAACCAACCCTAACACTGCTCCTACCTCTGCCGCCGACACTTTCTGCCACTGCCTTTCCCATAGACGCAACGTACCGAGCCTTCCTCTATCGCTGGCGAACGAGTCCAACGACCTAGCATGAGCCCGTAACTTCCTACCACTATCGCTCTGTGTGGAGTTCCTTCCATTGTCGAGAGAGAGGACCGCAAGTTCCTCCGCCACCGACAAACGCCATTTAGAGCTTTCATCGTTGCCATTACTGCTATCCGCAACTTCCGTCGCTATTGCTGTTCGTAGCGTTGTTGCAGCTGTCTTAAACTAATCCTCCGTCGCTGCTGCTGCCAACTTCTCACCGTTGCCTTCTCACTGCTATTGCTACCACTTTCCTTCAATTTCCACTATTAGTGACCCTTTTATCCCCCTCTTTTACTATTAATAGTTCTTTTCTCTCTCTCTAACTACTATTAATAGTAAGTAATATATTGTTAACAGCATATTTTTTAATTTAATATTATTTTTATTTTAAATAATTATATTTTAATTATATTATATATTTTTTTATTTTAATATTTCAGAGCGTCTCGCTTCAATTAAAGAAAAAATTAATTTAGTCAAACAATTGATGCTAAAAATACACACTAAAATTCTCATCTAATTTCTCTTAAGGAACAAAATAATAAAATTTACCAACTAAACCAGTTTGAGAAGAAGTTAATCAAAAGGTAGAAAACAGAAATAATATGAGAAATTTGAGATGAAAAAGAGCCAGCAACATAGTCAACAACTATCATCTGAGAAATAAATCCCATGGTTCTGAAATTATATATAGCAGGCAATATCATGTAGACCAACAAAACTTGCATATGCATGTCTATACAAAAAACATTTTCTTAAAAGAAAAGTTGCAAATCTCACAATTAAATGTATAGCAAACCTGATCTATAACCCTGTCATCAAATAAAATATGAGAACCGAAGATGCAAAGGGATGCACCCAAGCTCAAAGAAGAAATAGTTAGTTCGGGTGGGATGAAGATTTGCTTGTATGAGCCAAATGGAAAGGATGTTGAAAGGTAATCTTCATAGTAACTGTACAAAGTAAATGCCAAATAAGGTATATGTAATTCAAAAACCACCATAACAAATTAAGATAGACTAAGCACAACATCAGTAAAAAAACAGTTGATACTCAATTGAACATTCAGAAGCAGTACCTAAATGCATTATGGAAAAACCCAACAGTATTCTGAAGCTTCGAAAAGCTTGGCGGTAAACATATGTGTGATATGATATTGATATGACTGTCTGAAAGAATTTCGAATGGAGCAACAATCAATGATATCCATCCAGCACTAACTGGAGTGGTTAACTTATATACGAAAGTTTTGCGAGGAGGATCATCTTTGCTTAAAACCTGCAAGACATTCTCATTATTGCAGTGGAGAATTCATCAAACTAGTCTTCCGAATATCTAATACAAAAAGTAAAACATAAAATGTGCAAAACCCAAGCATATATCTATACAGTAACTAATTATGCTTGGCAAGAAGAAAAATAAGGAATAATTATTGATTGTCCATGCAGAATATGTGTATTTAGAGAAGATGCTGATGAAGATTTAGACCAATTAATCAGAGAATTTGAGGGATTAACATCATTGACAAGATGGAATAAAGAATGTATCATCAACGTAAAATTTGCAACTAGGATTATGTCCACAGTTTTTTTTTGTCCAAGGATTATGTCCACAGTTATGTACGGATAATGGTACGACGGGCACATAATAGTATAAGAAGATGTTTTAAAGGTTTTAAGAGAATATGAATCAGTCATTAGAATTTAATTAGAAATATTCTGCCACCGGAGAAACCTTGGAGTTCTGTCACAGTGGCTTATGGTACCACGAAAGTTTAATTATCTTGTGGTTTGCCTAGACTCCAAATTAATGTTTGAGCTCAAAGACAAGATCACTTAAGACCATACATATTAAAATCATGAAACAACGTAAGCATCTTGAAAGGACAACATAAAAAGTTAATGTCGCTAAAATCCTGGGAGAAAAAAAAATAGAAAATAAAATAATGAATATATTTAATTATTTATCACATTTGTAAACATATAGGAGCAGTTACGACTGTGGTTAAAAAAAGAGAAATTCATTTATAGGTGAAGGACATGCCCAAAGGAGACCCATAGATGCACTAATTAAAGGAGACAAGTTGATAAAGATACCTGATAGTGTAAGTCACCATTGCTTACAGCCACAAGATTGACATCAACTGTGAACTCTAGGTCAAACCTGTACAAGAAAATAAGTAAATAAACCTCAAAAGTAGCCAGATTTTCTTCAATGAAAAAGTTTGCAAATAAAGTCTCAAAAAAATAATTCTGATAATTATTAACTTACGGGCAGCGCTGTGAAATGCTATCCAAGCAAGGAAACCAGCAATGTGCACGCCTGATTTGGTTATCAGTGAGCAACACATTGTCCACAAAATGAATACCAGTTTCAGCCCTATCTACCCAATAATCAATTCGAACTAGCTTTTCATTCTGTTACAAAATAAACCCACAAAAAAAGCACAGGCCTTCAATTGTTCAAGATAAAAACATGGAACACTCTTATAAAGCTCAGTGAAAGATGAATGTATAAGACAGAACGAAGAGAATCACCTTATCCTCTGGATGGCCATTGCAACCATTAGCAACCTGCTGGCTGCAGGAGTCTTGCACAGAGTTCCCACCATTCTCTTTTTCCTGTGGTAGATCTAACTTTACTGATCCATTACATGCAATAAGAAGATTTGGAACCATTTCTTTGTCCAAGGATGATGTGTACATGGAGCAAGCAACATTTGCAGCTGAACTGGAGCATGACACAGAACAGAATCTAGCCTCTTCAACAACTTGATAATGAGGAAAATATTCAAAATCAGCTGGTTCACCATCAACAGATATATTTGTAATGGTCATATTATCCGCATGCAAAGCCACATGCCCACCCTCTGGAATGGTCATTTTCAACTCAGTATACCTTGAAAATGAACAAACAACTATTAGTCCTTTCAATTTAACAGTCCTATGGCTCACAAGATTTAGACCTATTTTCCTGCATAACAAGTTCTATATGAGACTTCTTGCTTGATATAAATTGCTAAAAACAAGCTAATCATCTAGTGCTAATAATGGTATAGATTGTTCTCTTCATAAGCATTTAAGAAGTATTAAGTATAAAAGAATGTGTAACCTATGGATGACATTGATTAATTATGCACATTCTCATCAAGTCTCCATAATCAGCTGATGATTAAAAGATGACACAAAATTCCTGCATTTCTTGAGACACCTGCACAATCCAATGTGCCAGATTAAGCTCTAAATAGCTGCATATGTCTGTCCCAAATGCCAATTTTTATCTAGTTTCTAAATTAGTAAATCCCATAGCTTAGCTGATTCAGCTAGTAAGAATTGATAGGCCTGTTTGATACAAGGATTAAAAACCCCATGATTTCTCCAAAAGTTCCAAGAAGAATATCTCCAAGTCTCAAGCAAAGATCATTTTTTGTGTGTTTGGTTGGCAGGTTTAATTATGGGCAGAAACTGAGAATTATGATGGTGGAACATAGAAGCTTCTAGATACCAATGAAATTTGAATCTGGAATTTTGAGGGTCTAGGAGAAACTTAGAAGGGTGTCCAGTATAATCTCCATAAAACCCACTACCAAACAGGGTATAAAACTTCAATCTGAGGATTCCATGGATGGGTTGATTGCATGATGGAATTTTGAGAATACTTCCTCGTGTGAGATTTTGAGGATGTTTGGCTAAAATCCTAGGATTCACAGTAAATGCTATTGTAGTCCCCAGACAAAAATGGACCTTCATAGAAGACCCTAGCTTTTTTGCAACTGTGTGATGAACGGGCTTAAAATAACCAACCTAATATATTAGCACTCAGCAGGCCAAACCTACCTTAACCCTTTGCATAGGCATTAAAGAAAAACTTCTTACATAAATGTGATGAGATTTATTTGAGACATGAGTTGGCATGATAAACCAAAACCAATAGTCCCAAGTTCTATTGTATGTGTTTGACACCGAAGGATTGCTAGGGTCTGTGGACACAAGCCATTATATGTAGTTGTTGCTTGAATTCTAGGTGTCAATCCATTGCAGATAGCAGCTAACTAGAAGACAAGCACATGATGATATTGTGGACTGCAATTTCAGTCATACACGCCAGGGTACCGAGCTCTTGGTAAAGAGCGATTGAGAAAAAGAACGCAAAGAAAAAAATTAACAAGAAAGATGGGAATGACTGGCACTCAAGACCCTAGCCACCTTCATCTTCTTATTACCAATCTCCACCTCTACCTCTTCTTGTTTTCTGTGTCTCACATGATCAATGGTATACCAAGAGAGAGTTCTAATCAAGACCAAAAACCCAGATTCAACTGATATAAGATTTTAGGCTGAATTGTGGTCCTCAGTTCTGAACCACATGGATCACAACCAAAAGTGGTCAAATTAATTCATTATCATCCAAAATAGATTAAAAATTCAGAAACTTCAACAAATTCAATAGAAGCAAAATGTTTTCATCTAAAATCAAGCAGCCTACACGATAGTCTAGAATCAATCTGTAAATATAGAAGAACGAAAAATTTTGTAAGATGGCATTACTTGAATGTATTTATGTGCTCTAAATAGACAGTCATGAGGCCCATAGCTATATAATTGTAACAACAATCTAGAGCTTTCTAAATCCTTTTTAACAAATTGATATTAACTGTGTTCCCACAAATGCATACCTAGGTGTTTGAGCTATGACCATGTTGTAGGCCCTTGGCACTTGTAGTGTTTAAGGCCTAAGCTCTTACATGGGAACTTGCCAGCTGTCTAGGCACCTAGACTACCTTTTTAAGGGATTTATTAATTATTACAAATAATTACCACTAAAGTATACCAACTCAATGGACAATATGTTGAAAGTACTTGTTGTTTTTGAGCAATTTAACATATACTTCTCTTCCACAAGTTGCAAGATAAGCAACTTTTCTATAAGCTTGGGCAATCAACAATAATAATTAATAAATTTGTTCAATAAATCCACTTTATTGTGCATGGCTTCTAGTTATGATGCATGGCATTGCAACTTAAATATTATATTAGTATTTATTTTACAATCTTAAAGAAGCATCTTTCAATGAGACACCAGAATGTATATTCAACAAGCCCTGAGATTATGGTTGGAATGAGTGATATGAGATGATGGAGGATGAGAAGTCCATCTTATATGATATACAAGGAAAATTGGAAGATGGCATATACACATCATGTGCTAATCATAAATTTGGTAGGAAATAGAATACATGATAATTCACAATGAAGTTTAGATTTGCATTACTTCAAGTTCCATTTCCTTCCAAATAATCGACAAAGTCATCCCCGCCATGTCACTTTATTGAGAATAATATCACTAGATACTTTAAGGCTGCCATGAGTAATAAATGCTTTTGCACATTCAAGTATCCTATTTAGACATGGCACTAATCAATGTTTGGAATTTCATGTATGGGTACTGTACTATACCAGTACCAATCCATACATTTGGTACACTGGTACATTAGTGTGTATTGAGTTTTGAGAAAACCTACACAAGGATGAAAAACAGAAAAGAAAAAAAGAAATCGCTCGATACAGAGCCTATACCACCCTGTACCAGGCGATACCAACCTGTACCAAGTGTTACGCCCAATACAGGTTCGGCATTGGGCAGACGGTTACACAAGTCCATGTACCGGTCACCAGTCAGCCTGATAAATACCGCCCATACTGAACTGTATCAGGAAGTGTTACAAATCTTGGTATCAATTTAGACGATGCTTCCCTCATTTTATTTGTTATTAACAGCAACCTGAAACTTCCACAAGTCCAAAACAATCTCTAGGTTTTCTTTTTTCTGATAAGTGGTAACATATCAATATCTTCATTTCCATTACATTAATCCTTTTCTAACATATTGCCTCGATAAGGGTCACCTTTACAGGATGGAGCACATCAACAAATATAACCATCCTCCTCCTCCTACTCACCTCCCCCCACAAACCAACAACCCCCCCACCCCCCAACCCAAAAAAAAACACACACACACACAACTCCCCTTTTTTTATGCAAGAACCAAATGATTCTCTAAGGTTTACCTCCACAACTAAGTATCTAACCACCCTATTTTAACAATAAGTAATATCTTACTAAATCATCCATTCAAGTTGATTAATGTAACAAAGATACCTTACGTTTTCCCTTCCTATTTTCATGAACATCTATTTCTACTATAATTCCATTCAGTTAACGAGTTACCAGATTATAATTCATTTACTGATCTTACTCCTACATTATATAATACTTTTATAACCAACAAGTTTTACCTCCCTATTTTAACAAATGATTAATTTGGTTAAATCTTTAGTTTCAAAAATAAAAACAATCATCTGCTGATCATATACCTCGTGGAGTCTCATCTCAGATATCAATAGTCAGTTCATTAATTACTTGTAAAAGAGTGAGGACTATTAGCTAATTTGTACCCTCATTATTATGGAGCTGATTGCCTTCACAGAATGGTTCTTACACCATTATTTGCTCCATTATATGCCAACTAAAACAAATATATATTCTGTCTACTTCTTTACTGAAAAACCATGTACATATATAGAAATCTATCACGAACTTCTTTTAGGTTAAAAAATCATGGTTCGTCATGCCAACCTGTATCGGGCAATATAGGCAGTACGGACCAGTCTGACAAGGGACCAACATGTGGATCGACCTATATCAAGTGGTCCATAACATGGGACCCTGTATCGCCCTATATGAGGTCTGTACCAATCAGAACAGTCAAAATCCGACCATTACCGACCTGTACCAGTTGGTAATAGTCGAATTTTGATTGATACCAATCAATGGCTAGGATTTGTTGAATTCAAACGATCCATTTGACCGTTTGAAACAGATCTAAGGGTTTTTAAACCTTTATACCCTCTCATTCTCTCCCCTTTCACTCTCTCTAATTCATCTACTCTCTCAATCACTTTCTCACTCATATATTTATCTTATTCTCTCATTTGCACTCTCTTAAACTCCACAGAGCTACGATTTGTGAATTGGATCAAACTTTGAAGGCTAATTAGGGAGGTTTAACACCTAAGTTAAAGGAAGAACACTCTAATCTATGTTCTCAATGTCTATTATGTTGTTTGAGATCTTTATAATGGTAGAATAGTATTAATTAGAGAATAACCAAGGCCTTTATTGTTGTGATTAATGTATGTTTAATGCTTTTTTTTTAATCTTATGATAATTAATAGTTGATCATTCTTCTTCGAACAACAATACAGCGATCAATCTTATAATACAACATTCTCGAACCTCCACACCAATATATGCAACAATCGTACTTGCCTCAAGAGCTGTCTCGGACACGTACAGATCACGACAATTAAACTACGACCATCACCACATTGATGCACCAATGGTACATGGCGTATCGGTATACTATATCATGGGATTAATTTTAAGATTGAATCCGACAAACATATAAAATTGATATACATATACATAAAATCAATGACCATAATCCACCGCTCGTGGAATCTCATCGTTCTTTATAGTGGTAGAACAAGGTATATGATCTAAATATCGATTATTTAATTTATTTAAATCTAAAAGTTTAAGTTGTTTAGCAAATAATCTAACAATTCAAATTATTTTTTTGCAGAGAATTCAATATCAACATAAGAATGGCCAAGAACGTACTATAAAACTACTCCTCAAAGTCCGAAAAAAATATGCGCCACTATTCTTTCCTAAGTTAGATCATTTTTGCTAAAATTATATATATTTATTTCCAACTTTAAAACTTCAATCTCTTTTTTTTATTTTTTTAGAAATTTTTAGAGCTATTTTCGACCATTTTTTTCATGTCGTCAATATGCCTCGTCGTACCAACACACGGCACACAGCACATTGGTACCAAACGGTACTTACCATACCGTCGACTAGTCGATACACCGATATGACGAACCTTAAAAAATCACATATAAATCTTTCATTTTATATATACGTTCTCGAAAGATTCTAATAAGTAAATAGATTCTACAACATAATGCCAAACCTAACTTGAAAACATTTGGCTTAAACATAGCCCAAGAGCTTCATCACACAATAGTTAGATTAGGCTTAATTAGCCTAATCTACTCCAGAAAGAAGAGAAAACTATTTTAGAGATGGACAACGTTTAATGATGGACAAAGTCAATATAAGAATTGATAAAGATTGTCAACAGCATTGTTAGACAAAGTGCTACTAATTGCATGATCAAGTAGGTTTAAGACCATAAGAGATAGCAAAAGACTCCTATGAAAGTTTGTTTTTTCTTCCTCGGCACACAAGTTCAACAACAAATCGAGTTATAATTAATCGGTGAGCCTAGTAATTAAGGATCATTGTCTCAATCATATTGACCTTGCCAACTAGCCAGACCATAGGATTTATTTGACATGCCAATACACACATAAGCAAAGATGTACACATCTCATAAACACATGGAAAAGTTGAGTAGACATCAGTTCACATTTAAATTAGCAACCTTTTTTTTTGTTTCACGACAACTAATTACTTGCTATGATAACTTTTAGAATTGAGTTCCAATCGACAAAAATATGGTAAAAAGTTTGTGGAAGCAAAATATGAGTTATTTACAAAATCAAAAATATGGTTTCCTTATAAAAAAACTACATTGTGAGATACTGAGTAAGAAATATGAACAGAATTTAGAACAATCAAAGTGACTTTGTGGCTTTCTAAATATATCACCAAACATGAAGTTCGTGAGAATATTGAATAAGCTAGCAAAAAGTAACAAGAATATGCAAATAGTTCAATTAGGCAAGTAAGCACATGCCACAGCATCATAATTTGTAATTTGATGACCTTCCAAGGAAAAAAAAAAGAAAACATAGCATCGATGTACTCATTGTAATATCTCAGAACTCAGTCTAAAAACATTTGCAATAAAAAAGGAAGGGAACATTTTTCTAATACAATTCTAGTTGTCTGATTCCATTCTTCATGTGATCACCACATGATTGATAAGTACTATACATGTGCTTCATGAGAATTAAGAAGTTATTTTAACCAAGAAAGAATACCATTTCACATTGCTCAGACCACATGATTAATGAGTATTATGCATGTGCTTCACAAAAATCTAAAATTAAGATAAATATTTACTAACAGCAGGAGAAAAGGTGGAAAAAATTCATGACAATATCATAAACTGAAAATTCATTAGTTTGATATTAGCAACTTGCTGACAGGAAGAAATGCTCAGAGATTAAAGGAGAAAAAAACCTTTAATAACAAACAATGGGAAAAAACACTGCTTCACATAGTTTGGTTCAGTGCTGTATGTTACAAAATGTCATCAGTTTGCAATCATGATTTGTCAAACCAACACTGACAAAAGATGAATAAAAAACATATGGAAATATTTGGCAAATGATCCTTTGTAGTGTATCATGCTTACATTTTCTTAGAATGTTTTATCTCTCAAGGAACCAGTTGTTTGACCTTTCTTCACAATGTTATCGTAGCAACCTTTGGTTTTTCAGCGAGTTACCAAACTCATTGAGTTAAAAAGACAAGCCCACCAGAACCGTGTCTTTGACTTCCAAAAAATATTACCAACTACACACAAACATTTCCATCTTTGAATTTCCAAGTCCACTTGTGTTACTTCACTCCAATGGTTCTTCCAAATGTCATCCAAATACAAGATTAAGATTTTTTATTTAATGCATAAAATGTCCACAACTTTACAGGGACAGAGAGCCAACTATCCAAACTCAACGTTGTCTGTAGCCTGTTCAAGAACACAAACGAAAATAGCGTAAAGAATCGAAAACGAGACCCACACTAGCCAAGGCGGACTATCAATTAGCACATTTATCTCAGAATCCATCGGATCATTTCAAGACTCGTCATACCCTAGCTGACCAGCTAATCATATCGAAAAATCACCGAAACCCTAAAAAACGAACGGTGTATGGGATCAAGAACTTGCTCCCGAGAACAAGAACCACCGTTCGAGGGGGGGTGGGCGGGCAGCGAAAAGTGACCGGAGCCGAGGATTCCCTTACCCGTAGATTCTTCGCTTCACCATATCGATCGAGACGCAGAGCTTCTGGTGGACGACGACCGCTCCCGAGCACTCGGGCTTTTGCTCCTCGTTCTTCTGCTTCCGAGGCTTCGCCATTGACGCCCGCAGAGCAGAGGAGGAGAAAGAGGCAGAAAGCGGACCTGAGCTCGAGCTTTCCCTCTCCGGCAGAGGGCTTCGCTTCCCTGTTGTTATCGGTGGCGAAGAGGGGCCGAACCCTTCATTTTATAGACGCGAGGAGGCTTCCCGACTCGACAGTGGCTTTTCTGGTCCGCGACAACTCGGCGCATCGGTCCGCCGGTTGGACCCATCGGTTCGCAGCGTTTGGTCTTGATTGGATGTGGGTGTACATTTTGGGCGTCTGTGTATATACACCCACACATCTGTGGGTAATTTCCGAGAAAATTAAATTCCATATTTATGAATTTTCCGGGATCAAAATGTTTTTACAAAATTACCAAAATATCTTCACTCTTGGAAAAAGACCGGTTTTGGTCCAAACCCGGTTGGGTTGGATCGATTCTTCAGTCTGATCGGTTCAATGTTAAACCGATTTATTATTAAAAAAATATAATTATATGCAAAAAATACTATTGCCGAACCTTCATTAGCTCAAATTCACATGACATTAATTATCAACTTTATTATACATTTGAAGGTCTATAGATTGATTTATTTAAGATTTTTTATTATTAAAAGTATGAAGATTTAGACATGTTTTAAAATAAGGGATGATATTTTTCAATTAACAATGGATTTAAATCTATATAATGATAATAAAAAAAATAAGATAAATTTTGGTCATAATATTTTTCAATTGATTTACAGTCTTTTAGCTGCCAAGCCAAAATATTATAATATTATATGTTTTTCTATGATGGAACAATGATAATAAGAAAATAATAAAATGTTATAGTTAATGAGACAAAACATTATAACTGTGGTCAAAAATATGATAATCAATTAGGTTTAATACCACACTAATTTAGCTAAAAATCTAATCCAATCTAGTTCAATTTTGAACAATAAAATTCTCTCATTTTTCTAACAATAAACACATCTTGATAATTTTATAAGTGAAAAACTTATCCAGACAAACATGCAAATGTGGAGCTTTTGAGGTTCCTAAAAAGTGATAACTCTGCTTTGATTCCATAACAGGAAAAGGTATAAAAGCTAATATATTATACAAGCCATGTCTTTGCAAGATATGAAAACTTAGTACCTAAACTTTAAGAAACTTATGTATGCTTTGGTGCTATTAGCTAGAAAGCTCCACATGTAATTCCAATCGCCTCATATAATTGTGATGATCGATTCATCGATATGACAAATTTTGTCTAAGCTAATGCTTCAGGGCAACTCTCGTAGTCGGTGAGGCTCAATAAGTTTGATATCTCAACTATCATAATAGCTTAGGAATTAGGAAGTTAACTCCAAAAGAATTATCTCTTGATTCTCGACCATGGACCCTCCATGTCGATGGATCTACAACCATCAAGGAAGGAGGTGCAAGGCTTGTTTTACATAACCCTAATAGGAACATATTTGAATGCTCTCTTTATTTTGGGTTCAAGGTGACAAACAACGAGACCAGACTCTTCTAATGGGACTTTACATTAGCAATGACATATTGATAAAAAATTGAAAGTATACAATAACTCATAATTGATCGTCAACCAAGAGGACTTACGAGGTTCATTACATGTCCGAATAATACTTATCGATATTCTCTCCTTAAATATTGAACAGATCCCATGAGAAAGAATTCAAGTACCGGAGTTAAGTCAAAGAAGCATATCTAAAGACACGGTTTTTGTTATTTCTCTCAAGTCTACTTGAATAGGGGACATCCGTTGCTACCTGAAGATCCAAAACTTACCTACAAACCTAAATCATGCTAAAAAAATTCAGAGGCAATACCCTTGTATTACTTAATTAATGGGAAACTCTATCGTTGATCCTTGATTTAACCTCTTCTCTTTTGCCTCCGTCTTAAGAAGGCAATGCATGTGCTCTATGAAGTTCATGAAGAAACATATAGGGAACATGTCGGAGCTCATTAGCTAGCCTTCAAGATTCTATAGTGGAGTTAGTCTAAAGATTCCCGATGGTTGTACTTACCCCTATGGATTCAGCTTGGTTTTTCACTCTATAAGATTTGAAAATCCTAGGTAATTTGTAGTAGGCATAAGGTCAATGTAAATTCATTAGTCAGCGTAGACTATTTCACCAAGTAGGTCGAGGCTAAATCATTGGCTTCGACTATCGAGAAACAAGTTAAGAGATTTATATAGAAAAATATTATCTATAAATTTAGTGTCTCTTTGGACTATCATCACTGATAATGAAACGTAGTTTAACAATATTAAATTTAAGGAGTTCTATAAATTCTTTAATATTCGGTTCAACTTCAATTCTATCATACACCCCCAGACTAATAGGTAATCCAAATTCACTAATCAAATTATTCTTAAAGGGCTCATGGAGAAAGTACCCGAGGCTAAAGGAACTTGGGATGATGAACACCGAGAGATTATGTGGAGTTATCTTACCATATTGACTTTAAATTTTTCTAGATATTCATACTAAGTGAAGATAATTTTTCTTTTACATAATAAAAAATATTCTATCAATAAGATTTATTCTACTAAAATTTATTCTTAACATAGGAATCCAAAAATATCCACCAACCCTAACAAATATCAAACCTCGCTTTAAACAAAGATACCACGCATACTTGTCATAAAATGTAAGGGAAAGCCAACAACACAAATCAATTTAATTACATTTAATCTTTCAGATGAGAAAAAAAAAAAGACAACTAACAAGAATATCTAAATGGTGCATGCAATTAAAATCTACATCAAACACAGACAACGACAGGTCGAAGCCTTTCAATATGTTCTTCTTCCCTTATTAAGAATGTACTAAGTATGACGCCCGGACCAAAATGCTCACTTTAAGCCTATTCTATTATGTCCATCTCCTTTTTCTTTTCTTACCCTTCTTTGACTCATCATTTGGGCACCACCTTGTGGTAGCTAATCATTCTATAGCTCACACGTGGCATCAAGTGGGAGGTGTCTTACACCATTCACTGTACAACCTCGGTAACACTAACATCAAGTTTGTGGTGTCAATCGTGCTCCTTGTCATCCACTTACCAAAATGATTCCACCCCTAATAAGAAAAAGGGAGCCCACATGATGCACTCCCAATGCAAGTGGGCAAGAATATTTTGTGTGAACATATATATACATATATATATATAAATATATATATATATATATATATATATATATAAATATATATTAAATGGGTGTGATCCAATTAGACGCATCATATTTCTAAAAATTAAATACAACTGTATATTATATTAAAATAAAAATATGAATAAAATACTATAAAATGATTATTTTGATTAATATAGTAAAAAATGGTAGGGGTGAAACATAGATCGAATAAGACTTTCTTCTCTTCAATCTTTGCAACAAAGACATTAAATATCCATAATGTCATGATTAAATTGTTTTGACTTGGTAACACGGTGTAAATAATTCTGAAGGTGCACCGGAAGCAGGGACACCCGCCCGGAAACCAAGGGGCGCCACGGCGGAATCACTCAGCCTGGAGGGCAGGTGTCTGATGGACCCACCACGCGTCGGCGATTCATACGGCAGGCGGCGGGAGCTACACAAAACAATGGCTTGGTTGTTTGAAGTCCGCACCTAATGCTTAGCAACAACACTACAAAAGCTTACAAAGGAATCAAACGCTCGTCACAGTAATCAAATCGAAACCTTACATCCAACCTCTCCCCTCCCCTCCCCTCCCCTCCCCTCTCGGAGAGGTGGGGAAGAGGAGAGGAGAGAGTGCGTGAAGGTATCTACCTGTCAGAATTCTATTAGCGTCGTCTCTCTCCTCCTCTCTCCCCCTTTCTATTTTTGTATTGGATAAATAGGTGAGGGAGGAAGGGGGGGAGATGTTGAAAGATAGCATCCGTCCTCACCAAAGAGAGGTGAGGAGCAGCTCCATTTCGGCTTCTTGTCGTCGGGTAGAAGAAGGTTCATCCTCCTTCTTGTCTTCTGCTATGTGTAGATCTGTCGTCTGTGCTTCTTTCTTTCTTGTTCTTCTTGTTGATCCGTTGCATCTGATGGGGGTAGGTATAGTGGTGGATCATGGGGAGGGGGAAGATCGTGATCCGCAGGATCGACAACACCACCAGCCGGCAGGTGACCTTCTCGAAGCGGCGGAACGGGCTGCTGAAGAAGGCCAAGGAGCTCGCCATCCTTTGTGACGCTGAGGTCGGCCTGGTCATCTTCTCCAGCACCGGCCGCCTGTACGAGTTCTCCAGCTCCAGGTTCTCTGCCTCTCTCTCTCTTGCTCTATATCATCTTGATCTCCTGGATAGAGAGATCTATTAAACCCATGCATGAAAGCAGGAATACTTGGTCGGAGCCTCGATCTTATGGGTCTTGGCTTCGGCTAATCGATCTATATCTTCTTCTCCTCCAAGCGGATCCTCTTTGAGGTCGCTGTAGTGATCCCTTGAAATCCTCTAGGGTTTGGGTTGGAGGCTGTGCTTGCCTTGGAAGACGTTTTCATAACTCCATACGTCGTTGGAATCGAGTCTACAAGAGAAAGTCATTGGAAATGAGAATATAGCAGACGCTTTCTTTGCATTTCCCTCCGACCATTATTTTCTTCAGAGGTTTAGGTTTTAGAGATCTAGGAAGCTTTCTTGGGGGAGATGCGCACCTCCCCCAACAAACCTAGGAAAACGACCGGTGAATCTCCAGTATTAGCATGCTTAGGTTCAGACTTAGTTGTCATTATTCTTCTCCATCAGAAAAAATCCATGTAAGCAAAATATTTCCATTTTGAAACAAAAAAAAAGAGAAATACTGGCTCTCTCTTAGTTTGTGCCCTCTGTTTAATCCAACTTCATTATTATCGATCCTAGAGACCTTAACAAATGCCTGATAGTAGAAACTCATTTCATTTGTATTGCAGCCTGCTGGTAATGACAGTCTACATTGGCAAAGTGACTGTGATTTAAGAAACTAAATAAAATTATTGGAAACATTCTACATCCGTTTCCAGATCTACTTTTATGAACAAATCGAAGTATGTATGTTACCTATGTTTTGCATTGTTTTGTACAATTTTTTCTTGGAGATAACATTTGATGCTTCAAACTGTTATTTATTTTAGCAACCTAACCCACAACTGCTCTTTGCAGATGGAAGGTACTTTTGTAAAGTTGATATATATGTTTCCATATATGTTAAAATGACACGAAATTTAGCTTTATAGTTTGTGACTCTTTTGGCATTGGCAAACAATTAAGTTCTTTTGTAACTATTTTTTGGTATCAAATATTTGTTTTGCAAAGATAATTGGTAATCATTGCTTGTTAATCGTCAAGAAAATGAACCATAAGCTTCTTTTTTAGTAATCCTTAACGTATTGATTTAGGGGGAAAAGGAAGCTTGAGTTCAATCGTATGTACACGCGTTGGGTGGATAAGATGGAAGGATTTACTATGAGCTACCATGCATCTAGGTTTTTTTGTTCTATCATATGTTTTATTTTACAAGAATTCAAACAATACATTTTGGAGTATATGGCATGATATCATCAGTTTTGTGAAATACATTATAAATGTTAATTTTACATTCTATTGATTAAATTCACTGCTATTGCCTAAATAACTTTCAGAAGAGAATTATTGAAAGATTATGTTATTAGTTCACACTCTTAAATGTTGCAACGGATATAAATAAATGTTCTGAGTCAATCTCATGTTCTAAATAACAGCATGAAGTCTGTCATAGAACGATATACCAAAGCTAAAGAGGAGCAACAGCAAATTGTTTCTGCAACTTCGGAACTTAAGGTACGTACACTTCAAGCTTTAGTGTTTGTTATGTAGATAAGTTTATTAAGAACTGGATTATTTAACTCACTTGTTATTAACCAGTTGCATATGTCTTTCCAGTTTAGTTTGCTTAATTTATCATGTCATACTCTTACAATTTACTAGTAAATGTCATGAAACTTCATCTTCCAGTAGACTTCATGCTCAATTTTTTTGAGTTTGTCCAAGTGACAATGCTCTTCTCTAAAATAATCCCAACACTTTGTATTTTTTGAAAGAGAGTCGTTCATTTCTCTAAAGTTTGATTGTAGGTTTTCCATGAACTAGTTTTAGGGAAATTCTTTGAGTGAAAATAAAAGTTAATTCTTTTCTCATGTTTGACCAACCACGAACTGAAACATACGCTTGATTATTTGGTACTAAAAAGAGAATGTGAAATATTTGGTACTAAAAAGAGATGTGTAACATGATGAATATTCTCATTGATTTTCTCCATTTGCTTCATTTTTTTTCTTTCCAGAGGCATGGTAAGTTTATCAAAACCTGCTTGAAATGGTTCATCTAAAATCATCCATGACCAAATTAATTTGACAAGAATTTGAGGCGAGAACCTCAAAAATCCTGATTTAAATTGATTTGAACTTGCTCAATCCCGTTAGAATTAGTGGCTTAATTAGCCTCATCAATGAGCAACTAGTTAGGAATTGATCAAACTGGGATAGAATTAACTTGAATCAATTGGTATTGAGTGTGATCTAGCTATGATGATCCATGGTCAAACTTAGTCAACCTAGGTAGATGAAACTCAAGCGATCAAATTTAGATGAATTAAACACAAGCGTTTGTCAAGAAAGGAAGTCATGTAGATTTCACCATTCACATAAGCTAATATTGTTTGTGGAGACAATTGTGCAATTGATGTAGGTATAGTGCAAAGTTCAACGACACATCCATGGAGAGTTGGTTCATTTTTTCACCATATCTAATGTAAATCGATGGAAGTATAAGGTTGATAACGAAAAATTATTAAGAGCAAAATGTGAAGATAGATTGTACAAATTAGGAGCAAATTAGTAGCAAATTAGTAATTACTAATTACTAATTAGGAGCAAATTAGTAAGCTCCTAGTTGTACAAATTTGACTTACGGCACGTCAAGGGCAATGATATATCAAACATATATGAGAACGAGGAAGGAACTTGTATTAAGTGTTGTAGGGTTAATTGGCAACAAGTACAGTTCCCATGCATCATGAGTACGATAAAGGCATCACCATAGATAACTGATAGATGGAGGACAAAAGTATAGTTGTAGGAAGGGAAGAAATAGACAATTGATAGCAAAATGAAAGGAAAATAATTTTCCATGAAAAGGTGTCATGATCTTAAAAATATTTTTGATGATATAAATCTACCATGTTATGATGCAAATCTTGTTTAACCATACCTATTATTTTAAAATCTTGAAACAAGGCGCTTATGCCAATAGATTATACGAGTACTATAAGTTTGTTTGTGATGATAATTTGATTTACATATTTGATCCAAATAAATTTTTTTATTTATTTATAGTTTATAAGATATTTCCCACATTACTTAAGTTAGCCCAGATGATTTTCTAGAAGTCGACCTGATAATCGAGCTAAGTTAGCCCTAATCCATAATAAACTTGATATCACTTTAGGGGCCCATTAATAGGTTTCATTATCCAATCAATATCTTTTATTTATAATGGGATCTTCATTATCATCTTGCTTGAGATTGCTCTTCATGAATATAATAATTGGACTGCTGGATTGGCAACAAGATTCAATCATTGTTGAAATATGGGATGATAACATTATTTTTATTATGTGCCTGATTTTAATTTATATTCAAATTAACTCAGAGATAAACCTAAACAATTGATAATATTTATATTCTAATTATGTTGAGGGTTTAACTTTTTTCATCATATTTTTTTGATACCTAGACAATTAGTCCGATTGTCACGTGATCAACTATCACGTATCTTAGATTGAGAATAAAAGCTATCATCTTACAGATTTTGCACTTAAATAACAGATGATGGTGATATATCATATTCACGGACTCTAGGTTGAGGGTTTGAATCATTTAGAATACAAGCAATTATTCTGTGATGATATGCAATTTACTTACCTACCAAGGGTTTGAATCCTCTAGAATACAATCAATTAGTCTGTGGTGATATACAATTTACTTACCATAAGTTGGCTTAGGGTTTGAACCCTCTAGAGTATAAGCAATTAGTCTGTGGTGACATACAAATTGCTTACTTTAAGTTGGGGATTTGAACCCACATCCTAAAAATTTATATATATATATATATAAATAATTAGTTTGATGATGGCATCCGATTCATTCACCTATAAATTATACACATAACAAATAGTTTTGTTGAATAAATTTTATGCTCAAACAAAATCAAATAGTGATGTACTCGAATTATGTGATGTTATGTTTGACTCACTTTATCTTATCTTAGGCTGAGGATTCAAATCCTTATTATATAAATTGTAAATCTAAATAAGTAGTCTAGTTGTGATGTAAGAGATATTATAATATAGGAATCTTAACAATTATCTAGCAATTCAGTCCTCGAGAGTCGTATAAAAAAGGGTACTAAAAGCCTTGAGAAGTGCACCATACGTTAACCTACTGGTCACGATACTTTGGGAGACAATTAAATACCTAATTATAAGTGTTCGAGATAACATCTTTGTCCATTATTAATTCTTATAAAAAAAAGTTATTAGTACTTTACACTCATTTCGACCTTTAATTTATAATTTTCTTCTATAGTTTGGTAGCTTCTTTTATTTGTACTCCTAGCATGCCTTTAACTTGATTTTTAAGACCACAACAACAGATTCTGCCTATTCATGTAAAATATTAATATAAGGTCATTAACAGTCATAACACTAAAACCCTTTTTGTAACCAACTAGTGGCAGAAGGTGATTTGATCAATTCAAAGTTGCAACATAGCAACATTGTATAGCTTACAAATTTGGTTACACGTAAAATAGCATGGAAGGACCACGTCATACATTTACTTCACTGGATTTCAGATTTCTCGAGGAACTTCTGCCATAAAGTTCAACAGAAAATAAATTTTCAGGCCTTGTATTGTTCAATAGTGGATAAAGATCACTTCTTGTTTGTTTGGGCATGACAACTTCAGATTCTGCTCAATTACACTAGGAATCATCATTAAGTAGCTCCACCGCATACTAATATGACCACAGATTCTCAAACTTCTGGCAAAGGAAACAGAATATCATCAAAGCAACAATATAGAAAAAGTAAAAAAAAAAAAAGGTTTCTTCCAAAGACTCAGATATGAATGCTTATCAAATGTAAATGTGGGCAGTGGTGGTAGAGGCTTAAAAGCAAGCCTAGATAGTGAAGCAAAAATTAGATGTGAAGTTGAGGATTAAAGAGCCCTAGGACTGCATGCACATGATTATATATTGGAATTGTCATAAGCACTGTATGTTTGCAACAAGCACAATCTCAAAAGACAAAAAGAAAGAAAAAAAAAGCACAACCGCAGAAGTTAATTCTATTTATGTTATACCACCTCAGGTTCTATTACTGTCTGTATGATTAGCCTCTAGGTAAAATCAGTGCCTTCACCAAACTTCATCATATAACAATTTCATCAATTTGACTACAGGAACAAGAGAACATCTTGACAAATGACTTATGCCAATTAGCCCAATCATCATATGATGTTGAGTACCCTATGTCCCTAAACATATTTAGCAACGGAATTAGAGTTTTGCAAAAACTTTATCCTCTTAGAACAAACATTAGATGAGAAACAAAATCCTGTACCATCAAAATCCTCCGGTGCAGAATGATGACCTTGATGCTCCGCTCACTGTCGTCTTCATATTAACAAAACAAATTATATGATGGCAGGGACATGGTAGTGATGATAAAACTTGGCATGTGGACCAGATGAACCAAGATATTAAATGGAGCATTGCTTTATAACTTGCAAGGACAAGCTATTTTGATGTTTTGTTGGACAACTTGGCATCTTCATTTTAGCAAGGCCAAGGATGAAAGGAGTGCACTCCAATGAGGATGAAAATCATACAATTATTATCTAATAGTTTGGGCTGTTTAATATTTTTTAACCAATAGAATTTGAAGAAGATCCAAAATGCAAATAGTTCATTTCAGGTTAGAGATGACCTATCCCTTATCCACAATGCATATGCTGGGGCACAGGGAACAGATCTACATTATTGAAGCTAAATATGCAGTTGCCAATGTTCGAAGTCAAAGTTGGCAATTCATGTCCATCAAGAGTGTTAATATTTGACAAGGCCAGGGATGAAAAGAGTGTCCTGCATTGAAGATGAAAATCATACAATTATTCTCTAATAGTTAGTCCTGCTTAATCTTTTTCACCAATAGAATTTGAAGAAGATCCAAAATGCAAATAGTTCATTTCTGATTAGAGATGACCTATCCCTTGTCCACAATGGATATATTGGGGTGCAGGGAACAGATCTTGAAGCTAAATGTGCAGTTGCCAATGTTAGAAATCAAAGTTGGCAATTCATGTCCATCAAGAGTATGTTAATATTTGACAAGTCAACTTCCATATGCTAAATTACTATCATCATGGAAGCTTCTGTGACTTAGGAATCAATTGAAGGATTTCACTATAAGAACCAGATCTTATATCCTGTTTGGCTTTCACAATCAGCTCAAAGTTACTTGTAGCTTCCAGTGTGCGCCTCCTAACCAACCATATTTTCAAAAATTTAGATTGTTGTTTAACTAATCTTTGGATCATTCAATTAGTTCCAGTAGAAAACTTTCGATCCTTTCATTGATATCATCAAAGTCAGATCTTCTGCTCATTCTACGATATCACAATAATAACAGGTCACTTGAGTCAACAATTTGTCTGCCTCATTAAGAGGACTTCTCCATCCACAAGGGTTGTAGGGCCAAGAGAATGGCGCATCCACATAGAGACTACAACATAGCTATATGGTAGTCATATCTTTGACAAAGTAGTAAAATACTAGAGATTTGCAAAAAAAGATGCAAATTCATGCTCGTAGCAAAACCAAATGCAAAGGAGCAGCATCTTTCCATACAACTAAGTTCCCTTCCACTGCAACCTTCATGAATTTTATCCTTTCTGAGTTACAAGTTCTGGACTGCTGCTGTTTGTTCTATTGGTATATTTGTTGACATGTCAACTTTCTTCAGTTATAGAGTAACCCAAAAAGAAAAAAGATAAAAATAAGGCTCTTGGAAACAATATGACAGTTATATTTCTGATATAGGATATATTCTTGCTACAGAAGTATCTCAGAAAACTACATACAATGGTCTATGATTGATCCCAATGTCATATCATTCATGGATGTTCTCCATAACGTCACTAGGTTGCCTAAGAAACTGCTCCTAAATCTGGCTAGGCTTGAAGATGAATAAGACATTATAGCAAACTAGAAAACTGCAAAGTTGCTTCTCCTTTCACAATGTACTGTAGATAGTAGTATATCCCCTTGTGCTTCTTGTTTGAGGATCTTGTACGAGTATTGGTAATTGATTGTGAACAAAGAGCTTTCACATGTGTCTAACATGAAGAATGGATCCTGGACATCTTGCAAAAATGTTGGATTAGCTCTATGAAATCTTCCGGTGCACAAAAGACAATTTTCCAGGCCACTATAAGTAGATAATCATGATCTTAGATTACCATACTGGTCGATGCAGGTGGTATGTACTGGTCCAGTGAATATTGGGATACATAATGTCCTGTACCTGTAAAATACTCTACTGAAAGTGGACCGTGGCACACCAACTGTTACAGTCAGTGCAGGCGGTATGTACTGGTACAGTCAATATTGGAATACATAATGTCCTGTATTTGTAAAATACTCTGTACTGAAAGTGGACCATGGCATACCAAACTGTTACAGGTCGACATTCGTTCGATATAAGTTGTATACAACTAAGCATATGTTCTTTTTTCAGACTCGACTACTTCTAAATCTAGCCCATAATTCAAGTGGGAATCCTCACTTTATCCACATAAACCATCTAGCAGAGATCCAATATATCGACGTAACATGAAACACAATCTGACATAGATCCAACCTACTGACATAACAATAAACTAGCATTTGGAATACGTTCTTGTAGACCCCCCAACCCCATCTATCACAATGTGATTTTAAGCTTATAAGATGGAGTTATATTGCTTTGGACACATAACATATTTTGTTTAAAATATTGGGTTATCATCATGTATTATTATAAGTTCATATGTATTATTTTGTCTTCTTTCCATTTATTTACCATATAGTTGGGATATATGACTTGGTGTTGTTCTTGTTTTTGTTGCAAATTATATTTCATTTAGATATTATGCACATGAGTATTATGATTCATATATTGTTGTTGTCGTCATTCTCATTCAATATCTTCAACAGATTTGAGATTATCTATTTGGAGCCTTAACGACCTTTTCTCACTCCTTTAGCCTAGCCCTATCTGCAGTAGTGGGAATCAAAGAGAAACCTAAATACAAGTGCTTCTGAATCTCCATGATTCTGAAGCTTCCTAGGAACCACAGTTCCTAGTATTTGGAATTATTATCCTCTAATATTTAGAATCAGGATTCAATGTATTCTAAACCATATTCAGTATATTAACATATTTACACAATTCGAGTTCAAAATCTTTCTAATTCCTCCATAAGTTGTTGAATTCAAATAAAATGAAGGGTCAGATCAAGGATCACCATTTTGCCCAAACCAATACATACTGCCCCCTTTTGGGCAATCCTGGTCTGATTTATTTTTTCAATATGAGTGACAAATCTTAGGGCAGGGGGTCATGCAATTTGCTATTCATAGCTCCCTGACCCTACAATTACCTCCAGCACCCTCTCCCCTACGCATGCTGCCACTACTATCATGTCCGCCTGTTGCCTACCCGCCGATGGCCACAGCCAATCACTGCTGACCCATCTGATCTCCCTATACTTTCCTCATCATCTTCCTCATTTGTCTCATCTTCCTCCTCCCCTATCCTTTGCCTCCTCTTCTCCTACTTCTCCCTTCCCCCTTCTTGGTACCATGGTACACACCAACAAACTGTGTTATCATGGACTGGACCCATTTTGGTTTGGCCATAGATCTGCATGAGTTTGGTACATGAAACTCAAAAAGAAAAAAAAAAAACAAGAGATTACTTTGCCTTTTTAAAATTTCATCTTCTAAGACAAAGATGAAGGATATTTTTAGGTGTTAGATCAGTTGATCTAACCTGGCTATAACCTGCATTGGCATGTTTAGACTAATCTTGCATCATAACTACACAAAAAAAATCAGGTTATCAAGAATGGTCAATTTTTAACTCTAGTACAACATTTCTAATAAGGAAAGCTATAAGCCTATATCCTTTGTAAGAATCACAGATGATTATAATCACCCCTATTAATCTTCAGAACTTTGGTAAATTTTCCTCTGACTTTACCATATCAGCTGTTAAAGCTAAAGAATTGACTAAAGAAGATGGCATAATATGCCATTTATTTAACAACTTCACTTGAACCTTCATGGCTGAAAATTTAAAATATGCACCTTTCTCAAAATCTCTCATTCACAAATCAACAAACAGACTAGAATGATGTCAGCTACGATATCAATTGAAGTCATTTTTACAGAAGAATAAGAAAATGGAGAACATTTTGTCTGGTTTGAATCATTTAGTTTAATTATATGCATTATCATTAATTATTCATTGTCAAAATTGTACCAACTGTTGTCAATTTGTAGATTCCAAGTCCAACTGCAGCTTGAAAAGTTAAGGCAGTAATTATTAAGATTATTTACTATACATACAAATATGCTTGTACAGTTATTGTCTCCAGGATGTAAAAGCAAATGCTCTGCGAAGATCTTCATGTCAACTACCGCACCAATCAGAGTTGTCATTTCTAAAGCATAGAAAGAAAAAAAAAACCCACCAGAAGTATATGGGTAAATAAATAATGATGTAACTGCCAAAATGAAGAAAATGATAAATATAGCAAATTGCTATAGTTATATTCATGACCTTAACATTCATATATAAACTATTATCATTTAATAGTTTCTTACCTAGAACTTCTGCATGGACTTCTTTTAAGATCTGCGGGTCTTTATTGTTACATTTGATCAAACAGCTCACCTCTAAAACATGTTTGCCTTTGGAGCTAGTTACTGAAGTTTTAAAAACTGCATATCAACATTGTAAGAGTATTGTGCTTTCTACTCACCAGTTCTGGCAAAGGGAGGCAGCGAGCTTGAGGCAGCAACTGCATAACTTGCAAGAAAATCATAGGTATGCTCACTATACCCTACAAATTCAAATAAAAGTATGGTCATTCAAAATCCATTTTTCTGTAGATAAGCACAAAAAATGTAGTAGCATTATCATGGATAGTTTACTTCTAATGTTCAGTTTTGCTTGAACTTTTGGACTTAGATATGTTCTCTGGTATATCAGTGTCTTGTATAACATGTATTATTCATGATATTGATGCCGCCGTCACAATTATGTGGAGTCAGCTTCATCAATGAATGCTCATGTTATTTAACAGTAAGAACTTAGTTACAGCACTAGAAAGACGTAGGAAACAATGTGCCACATCAAAACTCAAACCAATCAACGAATTGATACACCTTAAACATTATAATCTAAGTGACCTCTTCTGAACTAAAATTACTAGGACTTCTGGGTGTCAGGAAATTATTTCTACTATTCCAGTGGAGCTAATGAGCTCCATTCTTCATGTTATGACAGTATTATCAGTGTGTAAATCTTCTACAATGCATATGGTAAAGGGAATGCTAATCCAACTTAATAGAAATATAACAAGTGATATCATGTTTTAAGGAAAACACAAAATTTATTTGTACACATTCATTAAGCAAGGAGAAAGTGAAATACAGCTAACTATAATGCAGCCCAATAGTTACCAAACACATGTACAGTAGCAAGCCAACCAGATAGACATGGGTAAACCAAACACATGGATTGTGCAGAGACAAATAAAGGTATCATAAATCCGTATCTTTGGACTCAGCAAAAGTCCATGACTACCTCTGTACAATATATGCTGGTACCAGTTCAGATAAGCAGTGCACAAACTGATGGAACAATGACAATTTGGATGACCAGTTACATGAAGCCAAGTCACAGTGCACTACTGAGTCATTACATGCTACACAACAGAATTAGAACCCATAACTATTGCTATAAATTAGATAATGTCAACAAATGAAACTTAGATGTTTCTATAGTATAATTTAGTTATATAGTTTTAAGAGTACAAGACTATGCTTGGAATATCCCAACCCACAAAATCAAACTTCTGTTTGATTGAATGCCAGAGCAAGTGGCACCCCAATGCCTTTCTGATGAAGGCTACAGAAATCCCAGACAAGAAGCACCGGACAAGAAGAAAGTCATAAAAGGAGTACCTGACAAGATGTTTCAACAGGGAATTTAAACTCAATCTTCAAATACACCCGGTGAATACAAATTTCTTTCAATGTAATAGTTAATTAATGCATGCAAAAACTTACAAACAATTGTCTCTCCAGAATTCAAACTTGCATGACATGCCACTAAATTAGTTTTCTTCCCCAAAAAAGAGTAAAAACAGTATATATGCATCCATCAATCTGAGAATTCCAAGCAAAGGGTTCGCGAAACCAATTATCAGGCTGCACGTATCATCATTATGGATTTTATATTGGAAAATAATTTCATAAACACATAATGTCATAAATTAGTGACAAGAATTACTGAGCCCATTGCTTCTGTGTCAACAACTGCAGGCAGTTGATGGGAGAAGAGCTTTCTGGCCTAAATGTCAAAGATCTACAGAATCTAGAGAACCAACTAGAAATGAGCCTGCGTAATGTCAGAATGAAGAAGGTTCTTGCTTCCTTTGCATCACTCAGTATTTCACACCTACTTTCTTCCAACAACTATTCTATAGCGTACAAATAATTCTATTCCTGCAGGACCAACTTTTAATAGAAGAAATTCAAGAACTGGATCAAAAGGTTATGCCATAATTTTGCTACCTCTCAACAAGTTTAGAATTGTACATCTAGTTCACCTATATTGATGCTGGTTTCATTGCAGGGAAGGTTTATACACCAAGAGAATATGGAACTGCACAAGAAGGTAAACCTTGTTCGTCAAGAAAACATGGAATTGCACAAGAAGGTATCAGATACAAAAGCTATTTCATCATAGATCCATAAAAGTGTCCAATTTTATCCCTTGATGAGCTGTCAAATTATGTATAACATGAGTTAAGCTATCAATCATCATTGTCAGGTTTATGAAACAAGGGGAACAACTGGTAGTGATGGAGGTTCAATTATTCCATATGGTTTTAGTTTTACGGATGAAGCACATGTGCCCATTCATCTAGAGTTAAGCCAGCCACAACAGCAAGCAGATGGAACCCAGACCCAACCTCCAAATCTAGGGTAACTTTTTTTTACAAACATTAGAAAATTCACACATTTAAAATTTCTAGTCTAACTGTACAACTTATTACTGAATTTGCACCAGACTTCAACTTCAGCTGACACGTGGAGAGTGACTCTTCATGATCTTCCATCTATTATCTCACTGCTACAGTATCCCAAGGCTAGGAATCTTTAATTACGTAAAAGTGCAGCAGTGACTCCTCAAAAACATTCTAGCCACCTATTGTATAAAGTTTATATCACCATGAAAATATGAATACTGTGCTAGGTATTAAGATCTGAGAAACTGAAACTGTATTTATTGCTTGCAATAAATGTATTGTGAATTTGCTAAGTAGTCTTTTGTACCTAAATGAGGAATTCAAAGCTGAACTTGAACTTAAAGAACTACTCAGCAGGATCACATCACAACATTGCAAGCAGAACAAGCCAAGAGGAAGACTGGTTTATTATCCATCTGACAGAGAGAATGCAGTTAACAGAAGGTAAGGTAGGCAATCTGTCAACAAATTGACTACTTATGACTGGAGCTTCGTCAGTCAACATGCACAACCTTTCAAGAGTCATGCAGTAGGCATGTTCTGATAAAATGAAGTCCATTACTCACCCACTCAATTAAATCACCTCTAACACAGACAAGTGGTAAAAAAAGAAAAGAAGAATAACGAATTGATCGTGTTGAAATGTGATGTGAATGGTGAAATATACCACACTAAATAAGAAACCAAAATAATAACTTCCTGCTGGCTCTCTTGGGTATATATTGCACAACAAATGATATCAATGCCATACAGGCTCTCATTCATGTATGACCAATTGCGGCATAGATCCCCCTTTTCTGGATATCCATAAATGGACCGAGTGGAAATCCAAACAACAGCCACTTCTAACCTGGTAAGTGTCAATGTTCTGAAAAGTGGCCACAGTATGCAGGCAGTTAAGGTCCCACATAGTGTATAAGCACTGGAAACATATGTGGCAGATACTGAAAAGTTTTGAAAAAATAACAAAATAATAGCACGAAAAATATGGACAATATAAAGTTAATAGGATACATACAAAATGTAAGTGATCAAAATAGCATGATGATCTTATTTTATACTATTAAAATAATATATTAGCAGGAATAATAGAAAAAACATAAACCACATAGCGATCATATATTAAAGCTTGCACAGACCATATATGTGGCCACAATACATAGAGATTATGCATTGAGGTAATACGTCACTGCATACACCTATGCGACTGTATTTTTGAACAATGAGAATTCTTTCGGGTAGATTGCCACAAATGACCTATCCCATATCCTGTTGGAGCTCAAGTCATATACATCAGTTTGTTCTGACCAACCTCGAACTGATCGTAGGGTATTGGGAAAAACCACACCCGATTATAGGGCATCAATCATAGACCAATCCAGGTGTTCTAAATATTGTTCAAACCTAAAAGCCTGGCAAGAAAATCTAGGTTTAGAAGAATTCAATTACACATGTTTATGTGCATGATGAGACCTGAGTCCTGACTACTCACAGAATCCACGGAATCCAAACAAAATAGTCATGTAGGACAGGGAAAAAGTGGATTTCTAGAATAAATTAGACATCTGACAGATACAGAAGCCATAGCATACAGGGATTTCATATTTAGAGTTAGCACCTCAAGATGAAATTTCAACAAACAAGAATATTCGGAGTCCTGTATTGATAAATCTAGTCCTGATTAAGGTTATAAAAAAAAATATGCAAATAAAGTCCAATAATGTTGGAGAAGCTATTCAGAAGCATAGGAATGATTTTAGAGTTCAATTATAATATAGCAAGAAAATTGTCATTGTGTGATTGGAAAAATTGAGTATGCAACGGACAAGGTCTGGCACATAACAGGACCATAAAAACTTATGAATACAATCAAGTTGAATCAGATCATAAAGAGTTTTTTGCAAGGAAATGTGCTGAGTCTAGAAATCCACTAAGTATGCACTTAACCACAAGAACACAAAATTAAAGAAAGAAGATAGAAAACATTAAAGATGGTAAGAACTGGACTAATTCTAACTCAACACATCTCATGCACAAGGGAACTGATGAACCATACGATATGAAAAGATGAAAGTGAAACACTTTTTTTCTTTAGATTTTCATTAACTTCAATACAGCTATCTATTAAATTAAGAAATTAGCTTTTTGAAAGCAATCATTTAAATTTTATTCCGACCAAATGATCATAGAATGATAGAAACCAATACATTATGTGATAAGATAAGTAATTTTCCAAGATATATCTAAATCCAACCTTTTATTCATAGTTATAGATTTACAAGTCATGTGCAAACAAGATTTTTAAAATATAAAAGAGCTCTAAGCTCATAAAATAGGACATAAAGAAACATTCAGTTCTGATAAAATTTGATAGGAGTAAATATAAATAGAATCAGTGGTTTTGTTTGCATGGATTAATTGTGTCCAAAAATCTTTCCCTTTCCTAATTTTTCTGAAAATTTTGTCCAAGTTGTTTGTTGTATGCCAGGAAGGGTAATTTAAATTGTTGGTCGATTTTAGTTGAAAAATAGTTGTTAAGTCACCATGGAGAATGTTTGCAGTTCTAAATTTGGATCGATTCCTTGTGTCTACAGGCTTAAATATCTAAATCATTTTTTAAGACAACTTGCACGAATCTTGAGTTTATCAGTAAATTATGAAAAAAAATGACATTTCCTAAAACTCTGTAAGCTTTGTTATCTTTCTTGCCTTTGACAAGTTTCCTTGAAGTTTCTTGACTATCTTGTTTCCAAAGCTTCTATTCCCTATCCTTTTAATTCCATCTTCATTCTTGGTTATCTTTAGTATTAGTTCTTTTGTTATGTCAGTTTGCTGTCCTATATATTATTATAAAGCAAATCAGAATGTAGATTTGGATTACCAAACTACTACTGCCTTTTTTGAAGCATCTTAAGATCTTTCTGACCAATATATATGGATCTCCCATATTTTAGATAACCGATCAATAGGCACTAAAAATAATGATGAGAAATGAATTTAACAATACAAAAGAAAGATTTTTTCTCACTCGATCCAAAACCAATTTCTGCTAAATTCAATCCTAAACTTGATTGGATAAACTGAAAATGCTATTGCACTTCTTATTAGTCAAGAGTCACTTCAACTGAGATCTTAGGTCATGCTAATGGGTAGAAAGGTTCATGTGCAGTTAGAGTACACTAACAGAGTCCTTTAGGGCTACAGAAAATAAATAATGTTCCATGTAGGTAGCCACCTCACTATAGAGGACCCAAGGATTAAAGGAGATTATTTGAGAAAACAAGCCACATGGGCTCTTGAAGCATTCTCACTTAAATGCAGAAAGGCAAGGAAAAAAGAGAAAAGAAATTGAAGAGAAAATCACCAGGAAGGACTCACCTTATTAGAGCAGAGGAAGGCTTTCAGTTTGAAAAAAAATGAGAGAAAAGAGGAAAAGAGGGTTGCTAATTGGAAGAAAGGATCAGAGGGCTTAGAACACTAAGCAGTAGGCTAATTGCCCAAAAGACTACCAAGTAGTGGTTATACAGTCAGGTGGTAAACCTGGTATTGACCCATTTTTACTGGTTCACTATTGAACCAGTAAACTGGTCGGCAAATACCAGTCTGACTGGTTTTGAAAACCATGGTGATGACATTTACCAAAAATGACAAACTGCTATCAAGCTAATTTCAAAATAAAACAATGATAAAGTTTAACAAAGACGACTGAACTTGATAGAAGCAAAGTACCTTCTACTAGTTCTAAATAAAAGACATCAAGACCTCGTTTTGTAATAACTAACTCCTGAACCAAGTTGTTCGCATCACGTTAGAGGAAATGAAATCTTTTTCCTATTATTTTCTTGTAAATAACTAACTCTGGAACCAAGTTGTTTGCAAGAATAATTCGAGCTCTCTCCTTTTTCCTAAAAGATATTTGAGAAATCATCGGAAGCAACTCTTCATCAAAGAAAGAAAACCAAAAACAAAAAGTTCACTTCTCCTGAATATATGAAACATAATATTTTTTTTTAAGTTTTCCCATCAAACACACTAGAAAGAATAGTTTTCTTGGAGAATAATTTTCAAGATTTTTTCCATGGGATCAAACAAATCCTAAGTGAAAAAAAAAAAGTAATTCAACAAAGACCAAGGGAAAGAACCTCCAAAATTTAAAGTATTCTTCAGCACAAGTAGAATAACTATCAACTTCATATCACAGTTACACAGAGCCAACACAGTGCAGCAAATACATTGAATCTGAAGTTTTCTGGTCCAAAATTTAAGTGAAGCTAACACACAAGGAAAATGGAAAAAATATAAAATTGATAGACATTACAATGTTATTTAACATATTATCTGCCTTAAGAAATGACAAAATCAAATCTAGTAACTTCAGGACCTTTATTTACAGCAAAAATTCAAATGATGGAGATTTAAATTTTTGATTTCATAGAGTAAAAACCATTTCCAATTTGTGCTGTTGACTGTTGATGAGTGAACTTCTGACCTACGATGATGACATATGGCATTGTTTTGTTAAAAGCAGGTACAGGAAACAACTGAATCAGTTGCTAAAAATTGGCTGCATCCTTACAAGCAGAAATAAATAAAATGGTTATTTGACTGACGACTCCAGAATGGATAAAACTACCTGGCATGTTGTCACATGACTCACACCAGATACGATAACACAAAATCTGATTGCTCACAAATAGAAGCATAAGTAGTAAGCAGACAGATCTTAAATAATGACTAGAAGTGCTCCTTTCATTATAAGTTTACATATAAACTTTGAACTTTTAATCATATAATTCTATGGGAACTGTTTTGCAAGTTTAAAGTACAACAAACAGGCGTCCAACAGCATTGCATTTCTACAATAAAACATGCCAATAGCCTATGATTGTCACTTATCAAAACAGAAAAACAATCAGATTTCAATTGTAACAACTAATTTTATTGTAAAGTTTTCATCTAAAGATAATAACATACCCAGATCTTCTTGCAAGTTATGCAGTTGCTGCCTCAGGCTAGTTCCTCCCCTCTTGAAAGATCTAAAGAAAAAAGTCAAAATATATGCCATGAGTGATGTAGGTTTCAACCCAAATAATAGCTTATATACATACAAGATATTATATGTATGTATGTATGCATGTATGCATAAATGTATCAGTGTTGAATAAACTTCAACATGCCTACAACATAAAATAATAAACTGAAGCATACATGTAAAAATTCTTTAAATGTGATGATATGAGACCGTTTAAAGAAGGTGAAGAGACTTCATCACTCTGGTACTAGAAAATTATTCCAATGTCGGAGTGGACTATAACTTAAAATAGTATATAATTCATGTCCAATAATAACCTTTTGTACTCTATTTGTGCATATTTTTCATATTATATTCGACTCGAGCACTGATATGGTGTATTAATGTAATAATCATTTATAATTTGCGGATTATGTTAGAACCTATCATATATCCTACAAAATCTCCAGTCCATTGAGGATATGAACTTTGCAATTTGGACAATGGCAACAATGTGGAAGGAGGTAATATCCCAAGGGTAACACATGCAAGGAGTAGATAAGAGAAGGGCAACTGTTGACTTCTCCAACATGAAATATAGCTTAGATCACATTGGTCAAAGTTTGTTGTGATCACTGCCATATTATCAATGGATTTCAAGGATATGAACGTGATGTCAAGTTGTCAACATGTGTTCCAAATTCCCAAAGACTTTGAGGACTCTCCCAATAGCCTGACCAAACTTATCTTCTGAGCAAATGCCTTCCTGTCATGGTTTTTATGTGGAAACCATGTCAAATGATTCTAGCACTTATGGATAGGTTTGATTACTCATTCCTCCCCAGCCCCACAAAAACATTTCATATTGGCACTTGTCCCATCATGTGGAAGGCTAGGCTAATATTATTCAATAATATCAGGATGACAATGTCCAAGGCATGGCATAAGACATAGGACCAGTATAGTAGGTACATCTGCATCACATGTGGCCAAGTGTCAAGAAGCAAGTTCCCCCAACACAACATCCAAACATAAAAATTTTAGATTGATGGTACATGTTTTGTTGGTAGGTAAAAAACCATATGTCATTGTAGAGCTTGCTGATTTGACATGATTCCTTGTTCATCGATTGTCATGTTCATGTTGTTGCATGCTTATAGTTAAGTTTGTGTGTCATGTAATTAAACTTTTTTTTAACTACATAATTATGACTTTGTTCCATTCCATGTTATCAACTTCACAAACTAATTCATTATATTTATGAATACTATCATGCAAATGGATTGACAATATTACTATGCACATTAAATTGTAGAACAAGAAAAACAAGTTTTTTAAATTAATCTCACACCACTAGCCAAAGTAGCTGATGTACTAGCATAATGTATTGATGTAGAATAGAGTAGAGAAGTGTGAGATTAGAAATGAGAGTAAGAGGCTAGAAGAGAGAAGATGCAATTCTTTTCATTCAAATCTAAAGTGTCTCATCCATCGACAAACTTCACTATTTATAAGGGTTTAGGAGCCTTAGTGCCTTAGGAGTTAGGATAATCAATGTAGACAATGATTCTCAAGAGTAACCTCCTAGTAAACTTGTATGCCTTTTAGAAACCCCAAATGTGACTTTTAAGAGACCTAAACAGATTTAAAACAACTTATTACAGCTGATAAGAAAAATAGTGTATTTAATATAAGAGTACACTTAATACAAAAATAGAGTCCCAATGTGCTATAGAAAGACTTGAGTGCACTTAATACAAGAGTGCATTTAATACAAAAGTAAAGTCCCAATATTAGCACCTAGAAAGACCAAAAGGCTCTTCAATTTTCCACACAACCGTTAGAATTTTTAGGCCAACTAATTGATGATTTTTTCATGAATTTCTTTGCCTAAAATAAGTTTTTATGAAATCCTTTATAAAACTAGATGGTTCTCCATCATGTATGTCAGTAGGTACGCCACCAACATCATAACTATATAGCCTATGAAAAGACACCAGTGTAAAATATGATCTAACTTTGGCTAGATGCAAACATACCGTTGACAGGTGCATAACAATTACTAAACCCGTACCAGAGATTTTGAGCTCTAAATGAACACCATAAAAGATATAATCCTTTGTTGCCACTGTGGTGGTTACGATCAGTGTTTTTAACTCAATTATTTTGCTTATTATGATATATCTTTGTAGAATTTCAGAAATTGGCCAGTTGCTACATCAGTTTCAACATTAAAAAAAATCTAAATTTTAGTGACACATCCCTCAATTGCCAACTCTATTCCATACTATCACTGAGGGCTAATCCTGGACAATGTATAATGCTTTCTATATAGACAAAACCGAGACCTTAACTTCTTCTTAATATGTTAATTTTGTTGTCCTCTTATGTGTGTTTCATAGAATGCAGTTGAATTAAGGGGGGTCAAGCACATATGGTTTAGCCATGTTTTAACAAGGTTGAGATACCCCAGACATTACATGCAACCCTTATCCTTCAAAGTTTAAAATGGTCATCAAATAGTGTCTTTTTATATTATAACTTATTCTGTGATATATATTATATACAATGAAAGTTAGGCATGACAAGGTTTCTCATTTCTCTACAGTCATGTCTAGTCATACTATTATAAATGACCCATTACAATAGACTTTGGTAAGAACCACAGAATATATATACTTGTAGTATATATGGGCTTTCATTTTGAAGTTTCGTGGAACTATCTATAAATGCTTAATGAAACCAATGGTCAGATCAAGTCTAATTTTCCTTTAAATGCTTTAGAATTCGAGTCAGTCTTTTTCAAATTTCTTGTATTTTTGGAGTTATTTATACAAAATAGAAAGTGACCTTTTAGATTAGGGTTAACTTTAATTGTTTAAGAAGCATAAGTTTATTATGATTTATATTTTTTATAAGATAAAATTTTACTTATTTATTTTTAAAAATTATTTTATATTTATTTATATGATTATATTTTTTATTTATTATATATTTGGGCCATACAAAATTTTTTATAAGATTACTAACATTCATTTATTTGTTTTATTTATTTACTTATTAATTTAAATGAAAAATATGTATTCACTCATAAAAATATATTAAAAATATTAGAAGGATAAATTTGTCACGAAATATTCAACGAACTTTTATAATACAATTTTACCAAACAACACTTACGTCAATGTACATTTAAAATATAATTTTTATTTATTGTTTACCAAACATTCAAAGCATTCTACAAGTACACATTTACTCAAATCTCTTTCTCAAATTGCACATTAAAAATATAAATGTGATCCCAAATGCAACAATAGAATTGTAGCATGAACGTTACCCCAAGAAAATTTGTCATGTACAAAATCAAATTTTGGAAGTCTGGTAATGTGTTTGCAATTTTATCAGCCCAAGACTTCCACCAAGGTCTCTCGATGGAATGACACCAAGTTCACTTTTGCAAACTTGAACGAAAAGCCACAATTTCAAACACTTAATGTAAAAGTGGGGTTCTGAACTATAGCTATCAAGGAAAAATGGGACAAAAGATCATCCAATATCTTACTAGATATTGAGTGTTTGTAATTAAACTTTTTGCTCCAATAACAATAGAAGGGTCTGAATCAAAGTTGTTTCACGTCTCTTGGTATTGTGGAATGAATTATAGTTTGGGCTTGCTTAATGGCCAAACAGGGTTCATATCTTCTCTCTATTTTTTCTCTAATCTTCTTTCTTGACTCCATTAAATCCTTATCATTCTTCCAAAAACCACTGGGCTGCATGAGTAAAAATCGATGCTACCCATATGTATCTAGAAGCCATCTTTAAATGATACATGCCTCTTACATACTACAGAACATTGAAATTCCATAAATAAGTTTAGTCATACTGCTATTTATTTTTTTTATTTCATGTAAGAATGTGACAAATAACTACCTACATCAAAAAATATACAGGAAAATTATTTCCATGAAAAATATACTGTGATATTTTCAGGATTAACAAAAGCATGTTGTAGTACTAGAGTACAATTTAGAATGCATCATATCTGATTTCTTATAACCATTCAGGACTTACATAACTTTATAGAGCTAACAGTTTAAGAGGAACTTCATTCTGAAATGCAAACAAAATAGGGAATATTGTTCTACTTAGTTTTTAGTCCTATAATATTTTTAATTGAAATCATTGTATCCTTTTAATCGAACTATCTGAAATTATACATATAATAGGATACAACACAAATTACATCCATCAGAAATATAACTATCTGAATAGGTAATGTCTTGTAAATCTTAATGTTCTACACATGGCATTTGCATGCTCGTGGTTGTCACATTACATGCCCAAATTGAGGTTATGTTGAACCAAACAAAGATAGTATATCATAAATATTCATAAATAATTACAGACATATTTAGAATACTTAGTATATACATTCATACGTATACATATGTGCATATGCACATACATGTATTTATTCAAGGATTGTAATGAAGAAGCCTTTCACGCTAAAACAATGTTAACTTTTTAGGGAAAGAAAGTATTACAGACCAGTGATTTAGCACTTAAAACTAGCTTTCCTGGAACTGACCTTAGACTTGTAGCCAAAGTTTAGCCAGGAAAACTGAAGGCAAGAAAAGTGCTACAGTGGACCAAAAACAATCACTTAGCGGATCGTCTTTCATAAGTATGAACGTACGAGCTAAGAAAACTTGATAAGAAACAACAACACTTTTGATACCGGATAGGGGTTTCGACGTGACGACTTACAAGTTTTATCACTAAATATGTTTCAAAACATCTCGCAGCGTATGACCACGAAACGTATCAAAGAACTCTTCCAAGATATGTCCATGAAATATATTTAATGCTCAACAACAAGACGCCCAAACTTTGAACAAAAACTTCTTACAGTCTAAAAAAATCAAGGAAAATACCTTATAATGTACAGCAATTCCCTAGTAAGCCAGAGTTAAGTTAGACTGCAAGCCCATTCCAGTAAAGCAAGGTCCAAATGGCACAATCACGCACCCGTCAGAAGAAGCAACAAAACTAGGTCGTACAAGCCCGTCGATAGCTATTTCATAGTCAAAGTAACACCCCAACCTATCAAATCTGACCTAACCGATCAAAACCTTCAAGAAAACACTTCCGAATTCAAGGAATAATCGGCGATTACTCAAAAGATCATGATAGGTAAAGAACTCGGTCTTTACCTCAGATTTCCGTCATTCGGCAACGAGGGCCAGCACCAATTCTTCTCTCTCTCCTCCTTCCCTCCGAGGGTTTTCCGGCCATTGATCTGACAGCAAACCCAATTCAAAACTAGAGCTAATCAATCAAACACGAACTCCATTACCCGAAACAATGAACAACCGAGACCGGAAGAAATCAAGCAAGATCAGATCTATGAGATGTCAAGAGACAAAAAAGGATGCAGCAGTACCTGAAAGCAAGCCAACCACGAAGAGAGAAGGAGCGACGGTAGGGCGGTAGATATTTTGCAGGAGGAGCGTACGGTGCTCCCGAGGAGTAAAATAAGGGGTCTGAGGAACGGTTCGCGGCCATCCACGTCGCCCGCCAAACTTATATATTTATCGAGGCGCGTGACAGAGAGGCGACGAGCAAAAGGCGCATGATAACGAGAGGACAAACCATGAACAAAACGACTCGACAAATGCTCCCCGAAGAACCAACTTACCACGGACACGTGTCGAGACGGGATTGCTAAGGTGTAGTGTAACGACGAGGGTGGGGGTGCATGGGACCGCCTGGGTGGGTTAAAACGGCTCGTGTGCCGTTTTGTTTATTGGCTCGCTGGACACGCGTCGGCGTCGGTAACGGCGTTTGGAGCCCACCTCATCCGTCCCACCGGCGTTCCCTACTCATCCTTTGATTAAGAAAACTAAATTCACATATATATATATATATATATATATATAATTGTTAGAGCAACAGGGATTAGACTGCTACATCAGCTATTTAGTTGACTCGTTGGCAGTCCATGGCATTATTATTACTATCTATTGATCAAAATATGGTTGAGCTAAACTGGCGGAACTGACCGATAACAAGAACAGCTTTAACTGATTATAATTTCAAACAACATAATAAATGAGTATATTTTGAGATTGTTTGACTATTATAATCGCTTATTAAACATCTACCATAAAAAAGATAGCATAAGTATACCCAATACATTAAACAACTTAATATAACTTAGTTTCATCATACTACTAACTTAAGTTTAGTAGGGATTCAACATTCATATTGAATATTATGTAAGAGGTTCAATAATGAATTCTGACAAGTCATAGATCAGACCCAGGGGATCACTTAGTCTATCTCGATGCATCTTGGGGGTGCAAGCGATTGTCCACTTTGGATGAGTGCGATCGAACCTGTACGACTTTACTCTTTCGGAGTCATAGAGCTCCAAAAAACGTCTTTGAGGGTAAGAGAGGCACGGTTACCTTATGAGCCCTTGACTCCCCCACTCCTCAACCGATATGGGACTAAGTTGGCCCTATCACAAATATTGTGGCTTCCAACTTTCAAGATTTTTCTATAAAATTATCACTTAACCCCCTATGACTTTTAGAATTATTATAAGAAGCAAACTATTATATTGTTCCTAAATATGATATAAAAAATTGCTATGCTTTGAAGGAGCAAATTGAAGTTCCTCCATCAAATTTGAAAGTCTTCATCACAACTTGAGGCATAATTAAGTCACAGGTGAATGTGATCATGAGTAGGGCAACTAGGATAGTAGTTTCTCTAGAAAGCTACAATTAAAAAGGTTGTATCATAATAGAGACTAGCACATTTTGTTTGAAGAAAAAGAGGTGCTCTAGCACATTTTGTTTGAAGAAAAAGAGGTTGAGCACTTGGAACCAAAGCATGACGATGCATTGATAGTTTTCTTTAGGATTGCTAATGTGTTAGTTAAAAAAATTTGATTGATATAGGGAGCTCTACAGATATATTATACTAAAATACCTTTCAGAAAATTAGTTTATTGGCCAAAGAACTTCAGTCCAGCTCCTCCACCTTTACTAGGTTCATAGGAGAGTCAATCACCTCGATAGGATTTGTTGATCTTTATGTAACCTTTGAGATTGATGATTATACAAAAATAGTAAAAAATTATATTTTTGGTGATATATCCCCTCAGTTTATAACATTATAATTGAGCATCCTACTCTCAACCGAATATGGGTACTAGTGTCGGCCTATTATATGATACTTAAATTCTTGACTAGTTTAAATATTGAGGAGTTCAAGAGCAATCCCAAAAAGTCCATACGATGCTACTTAACATTAGTCATCTTTCCAAAGAAAGGAACATTATTGATGTAGCAAATGGACACACAAGATTTCTCATTGATAATTCTATATCTTGTGCTAAGGGAACCCTCGGAAGAAATTCCATTGAATCTTGAACGACCAGATCACACAATTAAAATGGGATTGGCCGAGAAAGGAAGAATGAGCTTATTAACTTTCTATAATTAAATTTAGAAATATTTACTAGTTAACCAACGATATGCACATAATAGATCCCGGTATAGCCTAGCATCGACTCAATATAAACCCGAAGTACAAAGTGATATATCAAAAACCTTGAAGATTCACTCTTGACCATTAAGATGTCATAAAACTCTTATAAGTTGGTTTTATCCACGAGATCCACTACTTAAAATATCTTGCTAATGTGGTCATCGTAATGATAAATAGAAAAAGTACATTGATTGCACTAACCTTAATAAGACTCTCCCAAAGGATAGTTTTTTCCTTCCATGATTTGATTAACTTGTTGGCTCCACCTATAGAATGAGCTGCTAACTTTAATAGATGATTTCTCTAGATATAATCAGATTAAAAGAATACTAGAGGATAAGGAATATATAACCTTCATCATTAAGGAAAGACCTGGATTGCTATAAAGTCACATCATTTTTAAATTTAAGAATGTAGGAGTAATATATCGAAAGATAATCAATAAAATATTCTAACACCAAGTTAGTAGGAATATAAAAGTCTATGTAGATGACATATTGAAGAAGAGTCACTTTATAGATACACACTTGACATTTGCCACCATCAAAAAATTTCGGATGTAGTTAAATTCAACCAATTGTGCATTTGGCATGAGTTCAGAAAAATTCCTAGGCTTCATGATATATTAGCGAGAAACAGATGCGAAGAAGATCAAAGCCATTATCAACATAAAATCTCGAAGCTTCATTAAAGAGGTTTCAATAACTAGCTAGTTGAATTATAGCACTTAGCCGAATTCTATCTCGAACGAGTGATCATTATAGTAGAATTTATAATTCTATTAAAAATAATGATAAAATTTAAAAATCTATGATTATAATTTTTCCTTTAATTATAATAAAAATATATTTAAAAATAAAATTTATTTATAAAAACCACTACACTATTGTTAGAGTCCTTATATTTTCAAATGAACCTGTCCACTGAGGAAAGAAAAAACATCAAGGGAGGAAATATAAAAGGAGGACTAATCGACCCGATCATTCTTCCAAAATTTCAATAATCTCATCGGTAAATAGACTAAGAAGAGCGGCATTGGTTCATGGGGCTAGAACCTTTATAGCTTGTGGTGTTAGCTCTCTAGCCTCAAGATGTGATCCTGTCGTAGCTCCTCTGACTTATGACGCTTTCTCTACTTCTTCACTAGCTTTGGTTGGTCCTCCCTCTACGTAGATTGCTATCTCACTTCGGTCATTGATATCATCCAAGCCAACCATGATGATCTTATCCAAGCCAACCATGATGATCTTATCATCCGTAGGGTGACTGATAGTAGAATTCTTTGAAAGGGGCAAGGTGGTCTCACCTAACTAGGGAGACAGTCAGTTAATAACCATAGGAAAATGAGTTATATGTTAAATTTTTTTTTAACCCACAAAAGACTTTATACTTAGCTACCTTATGCATCTTTATCTCCATCTCGTGTGCCTCTACCTCCTCTTGGGATAGCTCCTCGTTAACCTCCATCTTAAAGGTCGACTCTTGAGTTCGAAAAAGGTTGATGTCAACTTCAGCTTTCAGGGCTCTATGATATGTCTTATCCCTATCAATCTTTACTACATTTGTCGACTTCTTCAAGGACTTAACCTCTCTCAGCTTAGCCATCACCACTATCCCTTTTAGCTCATTTACTCAAACTTAGAGTTGGGTGGCTTCCTCTACTGCTAATGCAACTCATCAACCTGAGTTTGAAGCCGGGTCGATCTCTCCTCTTGTCGAAACTTCTTGGCGACTACATTATCTCTCTCTTTTAGAACCACAACTTCTTAGAGGAGATGACCAATAGTCATTGAAAACCATGTTGAAACCAAAATCGAACCAACTCTGTGGTTCATCGGTTCCAAACCAAATTGGAATTGACATTGGATGATTCAATTTTCGTTCATAGATTTAAAAAATTAGAACAATCAAGTATAGTTTGGGAACCGAAGCTGACGGTTCTAGTTTTGGTTTAAGCTACCAATTTTATAATTTTATTTATTATTATTCAAAAATAAATTTATAATTTTTTATATTTTAAAATTTTAATTAAAAAAATAAATAATTAGTGGTTCAAACTGAAATTATCAATTTTGATTCTGGTTCCAGAATGGTTCCTTACTGGTTTGGCTCTAATACTTGATTTCGAAAAACTTAAACGGTTGGTTTTGGAACTAAAATGATCGATTTTCGAGTAGAAACCGTTAATTTCAAAACGTTACGACTATATATATTCACCTAGTTTATGATTTGTGTCTGCATTCATTTGCTCATCAGAATTTCTACCAAAAAATTAAATATGATTTCTATTTGAAATTTAGATAACAAAAATACACTAATTCTTAAATAAAAAAACTTGAATCCTACTTGAAGATATTTTAAAATGCTTTTGAAAGTCCTTTTCTTTAATCCCTGCAATCAATTTAAATTTATCTAAAGTAAATTATTTTTATACTATATGTTGGATGATCACAGGTAAAATCTTTTCATGTACTCACATCTATCTGATCTACTTAAATCGAGTTTGGATATGCTTTATTCATATTTATGGTTGATTTTGATAGGTAAATAGGTACCAATAATAAAATAAATAACATGAAGGGTAATGATCTTGCAATACCTCTTGAAGAATATATATATATATATAAGAGATGGTCCAAACTCCCACTTGTTAGGAGCGTTAGTGTTGTAGCATATTGGAAGTTTCAGAGGAAAGATGCTTTGGAATCTTACAGATCGCAAGTTCCCAAAGTCAGAAAAAAAGTGCTTCAAAGTTCGAGAGAATTTTCCTTTCAAGTTGTAGTATAATACTCCCCTCCATTTCTTTTACCTTTTTTAATCTTTTCGTGAGATCCAATGCAACCATGCAAAGTTGTGGTGATGGATGAATTGTTGGCATATGATAAAAAATGATTATATGTGCAGGTTGGTATGTTTTCTCTGAATATATTTTTTTCTCTTATATATATTTATATATATAATACTCAATATATATTTTTAATATTCTTTTTCACTACTAAGTTGG